CAAACGATTTCAATCTTACGTGTTTTCTTTTATAATATATATATTCGTATATACGTAATAATATATTTTATTGCTTATCTCACGCGAATTAATTGATCGCTTGTCGATTTATATTTTCTATTTTTATTTCATATCGTTCGGATATTGTTGTATTTGATTTACGTCAAACCACATACAGAATCACGAGAGTAATAATAATCATCGTTACGCGTTTAACTCGAACAACTACGATGATAGACGTAGAAAGTTAGTAATCGTGATTCTTCCGTCATACTACATACATATATATCGCAACGAAACGATATTATTTCATTTTCCCTTTGATAACTTACGTGTGCATAAATTTCACATTTCTATGAAATTACATACCGATCGGTCGAACGAATTTGCCGGAAAAGGGTGGACGGCGTAATATTGCTAAAAGGTAACATAGAAATTATTAACGTTATGTCATTCGCAAATGACAATTGTCTGTTTCATTATATAAAAAAGAAAAGAAAAGAAAAAGAAAAATAATAAATAGGAAAAAATGATCGTGGTGTCGGAAGTGAAAGAACCTAACAGGAGTGTGGCACTTTACGAAGGAGGATGCATATGATAATGCAAGTCAAGTGTCAATACGTTTGTAAAATTTCAAACATAATCTCTCGAGTATTTAGGTACATATTTACATAGAGAGACAGGTGCATAAGATAAAACATATATGTATAAGTGTGAAACGCACACCTGCGATTATCAGGCTTGCAAGTTTACACGTGTTACCCTCTAACCTACTTCAATCTTGCTTTTGCAAACGTAAAATGGAAGAAGAAAAAGAAAAAGAAAAAAAAACCATGCATTTACGGATATAATTTATTCATTACCTTGACTTGGCCGAGTTGTGTGTCGAGAAAAGAATAATACATAAGTTTCTCGTTTATTATACTGTACTCTTCCGACACGTAAGAAGAACAAGTATAATAAGTAGTTAAAAGAATGATCAAACAGAAGAGGATATCTTTATTTATGCAAAACGTATTACATAGTAAACTACTGTCTCGTTTAAAACGACGAGGTTGTATTATTTGCTTGTTTAACCATTTTTCATTGTTTTGGGACACACGGTTGTTAACCCTCTTCTCTACTCAACTTTCCTTTCTGCCATTTTCTTCTTACGAATCGTTCGATTCAATATTCGACACAAGGAAAAAATCAATTTATTTCCCATTTCTTTCTTTATTCTCATTCATATTGCAGGATTCACGGTAGGCGACGAGCTAGGATTTAGGGAATCCTTGTCGAACGTTGAAAATGCAAGGAGAAGGAGCGTGCAAGGTGGAAAGACGACTGGTCTTTCTCTTGGTTCGACGAATGTGGTAAGAAATCGTAATATCTCTTTTTCTTAATTAAAATCTCATGTATTCGTTACGAAATCATATAATCGAGAATAATCAATTCACGTTTATTACGTTATAGTAAATGTATAGCCTAAAATCTTATGTAAAGTTACGATCGTTTCTCTTTTTCAAAAAAAAAAAAAAAAAGAAAATATAAGCATAAAACAACGTTAAAAATGTAAAAGAAATAAATTCGTAAACATGGATATATGTCGATGCGTGAAACGACATGATTAGGCGTAAATCTGTGACACTCTCCCTCTACCCTCCTCCTCCCACCGTTCTCTCTCCTTTGCAAAATTAGTTCTTAATGAGAAATAAATAGCAGCGATAAACCTGTGTTCGAACTCGTCTTCCTCTTCTTAGATCTACTATTTAGCACGACATATGTATTCTTGTTTGTATGTACGTATTTGTGTACATGTTGTTATTTGCTATGGTGTAACACGGCTACCGCAATTCTCGTTCGAACGTCATTCCTCATGCTTGCACTCGGAGTCGAATTAATTACATTCATTACCATTCGTGAAACGAGAGAACCACACACAGAGAAAGAGAGAGAAGCATTTTATTTTTATCGAATTTTTTGTACTATCAACGTGCGTGCAATATTTCGGAGTATTTAATACAAAAATAAACGATTATAGATATTGTTAAATATTTCAAAAAAATTCCAAATTAATCATTTTTTATATATTTCTCTCGTAAGATAAATAAATATGCAAGAGAGGTGATACAGTATATGTTTACGATGCAACTAGAATCGGCCTTGTAAGTAATTGATGTATAAATGCATCGATACAGCTTCATTCACGTGCGTGTACTCGATTTACGTACTTGATTCTCGCCATGTGCTCGTAATATTTCTTACGAGAAATATTAATGCCATTGAACGTGAATGAATAATGCATTAATAAAGATGAAAAGCGATGTCCGTTATTAAATAGAACGCTATGCACAATGATGATCTTTGTATGAGAAAAAGTGATTCATGGGGTCGTGTGAAGTAACCTTAAAATCGATTATTCAAGATACACGATATATATACAATCTTGTCGAACTACTTTCATTCTCCGTGATCTTTAGACAGAGGTGAAATGATCGAAGGTACAATCGTACAATCACGATTAATACCTTTAACGTCTATTTAACTTCTAATCATTAATTTTCTAACGATCTGTCCTATTATTACCGATGATAAAAAATATAAAAATTATTCTGATCAATATAAAAATAATGAATAATAGGCAACAAATCGGAACGACAATCAACAAAAAGCAAGACAGGTAGTGCCACCTTTCAAACCTTTGCCAGTTGGAATGAGTCGTCCGATGGGTCAACAACCGGAACGTCAAAAATTGGTGGTTCAACAGAATACAACAGCACTTAGGACGATAGCAGCACCGTCTTTGGGTACGCACGAGGATATGATAAAGTATCAACAACAGCAGCAAGAGGCAAAATTAAAACAACAGCAAAAGTTACAACAGGAGGCATTGGCGGTGCAAGTATTAAAGCAACAGAGACAACAACAACAGGAAGCTATGCGTCAACAGCATATACAAAAGATGCAACAGCAATATAAGCAACAACAATTATTGAATCAACAGCAACAACAACAAAAACAACAGATGATGGTTCAACAACAAAAGCAAATCCTAGCGATGCAAACTAAAAGGATACAGGTTGGGTTTAATTAAAAAAGTTTTCTTATTTAATAATAATAATAAATATATATAAGAAAATGATTTGAAAGTGATGTTAACGTTATTTGAATTATACGAATAGGCAGCGATCGCAGTAGCAACGACAACGAAGGCTCCCCCCAGTGTCGTAATTTCATCGATAGGAAATATAGTGCAAAGTGATCATTTAAAACCTGTTTCATCGGCAATGACGTCCGTGACTAGCAACGGCTTACCACCTTTCATCGCCATGCCTCAATCATCTTCCAGGCTCACCGATAGAATCAGCAATAGTCCTACGTTACTCGACGATTCCGATAATGAAGTACCTAAGGACGATTATAATCAGGTATTACACGTTATAAGATCTTGAATAGGATCGCAAATTACACGACTAATAAGAAGTATATATATATATATATACTTGGTTTCCTATGATAGCTTCCGTTACCAGGAGAAGAAGCAGCATCTTCTGTTAACAAAATGACCCTACTCTCGCTGCAACCAATTGGTAATGCAGCCGAATCATCTCACAGTTTACCACTTCAACAAAATGAAAAACGACAATCGTTGCCAGCTTCATTACCTTCGTTAGCACCGATCCAAGGTATGGAAACATCTTTGAAAACTTTAGCCGAGGCTAGCAACATCACGCTAGAAGCTTTAGAGGCAGCTATCCTTTTGAGGCAACAACAACTTATGCAGAAACAGCAGGGACCCAGTAGTACGATCAGTACAACGACAACCACCACCACTATTTCGCCCCTCGTTAAAAAGTATTTTCATTTTTAAATGTCTTTTATAATTATAATTAATGTAACATCGCGGCGTGATCGTATACTGATAACCATACCAACTTTCTTTTTGTTTTTCAGCAAATATACCAATTCCGGTACTACGAAAGTAATGAACGCACCGAACGAATATTATCCCATAGGATACGATAAAAACTTCGATGATAATTTTGCCAGTCGCGTTGATCTACCCGATACCAGTTTTTATTGCGGCGATCAAAAACATTTCCCGGGTCTTTACGCCGACGAGGATTTGGGATGTATGGTAAATCATTTTTCTTTTTTCTATTCCCCCCCTCCATCTCTCGTCCTCCTTTATATATCTAATAAATTTATATCAACGATTATCCACTTCGTTTAGGTTTTCCACGTGTGCGCGTTAACCGATGACGGGTTGATCATGAAGAGTTTCCTGTGCCCCGAGTCAACTTTGTTCGATCAAACGATCTTGAAATGCAACTGGTGGTTCTACGTTGATTGTCCATCATCGAAGAGTCTCTACGATAGTAATATTCCAATCAGCAAGAGTTATCAGTTAATGAAGGCACTAGCATTTTTCTCTGCTTACAAGAATCACGATAACGGTACGGTTACTACCAAGGATAACGTTGACAGTGAAGTAACTCGAACGTAATTATTCGTATAATCTGATACGAAGACAAACGAAAAAGAATTTTGTCGATAATTTAACGCCCATATTCATCATATGTCTCTCTTTGTAGCCATTAATTTAAAATCAAAAAAGAAAGGGTCAAAATGAAACGTAGAAGGGCGTAATGTATAGTCGTCGAGTTCGTTAACCCTTTGAAAAAAAAAAAAAAAAGAAAAGAAAAAGAATGCGAAAAAAGATGGGGATCTTTATCGTACGAGATAAAAATAAACGAAGTCATTTTTTAAGTAGGATAATAAATATGATGGTGGTCTTCGTTGGATTATGTTTGTCCATCGAGATACGATCGAATGTTTTTAGATCTTTTGTATGAATGCTTTTGTATGAGTGTATATAATTTATTACATAATTAACGGTGCAACGGTGTGAATATTTTTCTATGTAAATAGTTAATTAAAACTTTAAACGCTCTCGTATATTATATTGTTAAATATTATATTTAATATATATATATATATATATTTTTATTTTCTCTTTTTATTCAATATATTAATTACGTCATTATAATACTGTAATATTCTCCTAAGGGGAATCGTCGTATTCTGCACGTGTGTTATCTTCTTCTTTTCGAAAAAATTTCGAAGCAACATGTCTCTTAATTAATTAATTAGTCCATACAACTAAGGATTAGATATGTGACAGAGAATCAAAAAAGAAAAGAAATAAAAAAGCTGAATGACGTTGCATTTGAATATTTGTTCGCGAATCGTTTTTTAAATTAATTATAACTAAACTAAAAATAATATTTAATTCAGTTTCTCTCGCGATAGATTCGAATCCTTACGAATTTATATTATTATAAATGTTTGGAACGTATATATATGCGCATAGCGAGAAAAATATTGAACAGTAACGATTCATCGAAAGAATTTGCAAACGTCAGTAAGTTCATTGATACTTGAAAAGCGTCATTTAAACGTAATATCGTGTTTCTCGTGAGATATTACGTTTTAACATAGACACAATGATTAAATGACTAAGCCACTAAATGTGAGTAAACGTAAAAAGCATCTTTTACTAAATAAAAAACATACGACGTGTTTCGCGTTTGAAAGACCTGAATAATTGCATCGCGTTTAAACCGATTCGCGTATTACTTATCTTACTATTCACGATCGTTGAATTTTAAATGCATCGTTGGTCAACAAAATTTCACTAATCACATTTTCATTTTGTTCTTTTTCTTTTTTTCAATAACAATAATATCTAATCTGTTTTTTCCCCCTTATCCTTCCCTTTTTCTCATTCCGGTTCGTGTTTAGCTCGCGAACAAGAAAGACAACACGATCGTTGATAAAATTGATAAGTGCATAAACGTGCTTGAATCACCAATCCGCAATTCGGTATGTTGTCCTTGCAAAATGGATTATCTTCGAGACCTGAAAGAATTCGTTCTTTAAAAAAAAAAAAAGAGGTAAAATAAGTAGAAATAATTATTCGTAAGAAACGTAATAAAAAAAACTCGATGAAATTAATTCACACCATTGTATATCTCCGGATCGTCTTGAACTTGCGACACTCTTGGAACGTTTTCCGAATTGTTAGTATCGTTTTTGCAAGGATAATCGTTGCACGTTCGTCGTGAAACCGGTCGGTCGTCCTCTTTGCAATATACTATTTGATGATACTCGTTCGATACATTTTCCGGTGACAAACATTTGACTTCTCTTTTTTGGATACCTTTGCCACACGAACGTGAACACTGAAAATATGATACTTTTTTGTTAGACATCAATTGTTGAATTTAACGAATAAAAAAAAAAGAAAAAGGAAGAATTCCGAATTAATCACCTCGCTCCAATCGGACGTAAACCAAGCGTACGAACAAGGTGGACCTCTGCACGATTTCCTCGTTTCCGGTTTATTAGCAGGACAATTCATATCAAGAACGACACGTAATGCACCGCGAAGTGTAGTAACGCATACGGCTTCTCTCGTTTGTTCGCCAAAATCGCAATTCGAAGAACACTGTTAGAAAGTTTTTCGTTTCATTGAATTGAAAAATGTATTGTTTACAATTAGTGTACTCATGCACGTGTGCGATAGTTGCCACGAATGAAAATTTTTCTTATTATTTTCGAACTCGTCCAAGTTTTTTCTCAAAAATGAGTAAATAATTTAAACGAGAAAAAAACAATGATATATTTAAATAATACAAACCTCAGACCAAGGCCCGACAAACCATTGTCCGCTACACGTTCTATTACTCGAACAAGATCTGGATGATTCTGGACGATTCATACGATCGCATTCCTCGTTGGAATATTTTTCACAAAATACTCTTCTACTTTGCATACCGATTCCGCATTCGGCAGAACACTGAAGAAGAAGAAGAGGAAGAAAGAGAAGAAAAAAAAAGAAAAAATCATTACATTTAATTGAATTTAATAAACTATACGATATTACAAACCTGTTCGGACCATTCGGTATAGAGCCATTGAGAAATGGTGGTGGTGGTGGTGGTTACCTGTGGCTCGGTCAACGAAATTGCATTGCTTGAAGAAAATTTCACGGTGCAAGGGCCCAAATCGCAGACCTCTTGAGAAATCGGTTTCTCTGCTACGTTACAAAGGTATTCCTTTGGTTCGCACGTTACGAGTCTCGTTCTTTTACCTACCCCACACGTCGTCGAGCACTGTATCGTAAAATAATAAACGGTAGGGAAAGTTTAGATAACAAAATATTCGATGATAATTTGTTCAATTACCTGAGGAATAAAAATAACGTCGTATCGAAGACTATTTTAAAACATTAGATTTACATTTACAAACATTATTTTAACGAAGGGGATCGAGTAGAAGAAATGAATTAATATTTAAAATTTTAATTATGAGCGATTAAAAACCAAGATATATGTTTTTCAAAAAAATAATATTTTTAAGTTTGACATCAAATTTGTAATGAAGTCAAATTGATTTAATCCGTAATTCAAGTATGTGAAAAGAAGTTATAGAAGAATAAATAAATAATGAAAAAAAAAGTGATACCTCGGACCAAGATCCAACATTCCAGTTGAAGAACTGTCCACCTACTTCCGATATTTTTCTGGTGTCTTGTTCGCAAGGTTGTTCGTTGCACGTCTCGCTGATAGGTAAATTTCTTGGTTCAGTGCAAGCACCCTCGGATACAATTACCGTTAAGGTCGATCTGATCTCTTGAACGCATTCCATATCTCGTATACGAACGCCGGTACCGCAGCTGACCGTACACGGGCTCCATGCGGTTGGTCTCCATCTAATAAACAACGATAAAACTTTTCCTATTCTTTTCTTTTCTCTCTCTCTCTCTCTCTCTCTTTCTTTTTGTTTCTCTCTCTTCTATTATAACCCGAACACACCGCAAGATTATATGAGATTATAAGAAATATTATAATCTTGAATGCTCACACGGGTGGACAGGGATTGGTGTTACACCTCAATCGAACTTCTCGTGGCTTTTCCAACGTGTGACATCTTTTATCGAATACCTGTGTCTGTGTGTGTTCTCTGATACACACGTATCTCAATGTTTGGATACCTAAAACAAAGTATTTGTTGGACTATACCACGAGAAATATATTCATCGTAATTTATTTTAGTTTAAGGAAAAATATTTTCCTCTTTTATTTTCTATTTTGTTCATTTATATTTTTCTTCACTCCCCCTCTTTCAGAATTATCTCGTATATCTATATTTATCTTACGCGTGTGTGCGTGGACTTAGATTTTATATAATATATATAAATTATAATTATTTAGAGATATACCTCCGCCACAGGATTTATTGCATTCCGTATAACCGGCAGGTTTCCATGCAAATTTTCGTTTTTTGTATCGCCTAGGAATGTACGAGGCATTTGTAGCTGAGTCGTCGATAGTTGTCAATGTATTGGTGGTACTGTTCGTTCTACGAGTGTAAAAGAGACGAACAATAGGAATATTTTTCGTTTAAAATTAACGACGGACATTGTTTATATAAATTAGTCTCGACAATGTAATACGCGTATTTTTCTTACTTTCTTAAAGAAGTATTTGCTGGTGCTGATGGTGGTACTGCTACTTCGATCTGTCTATTTAAAACTGAAACATTGACGTTTATCTAAATTTATCTCTCACATTATTATTATTATTATTATTATTACTATTAGATTAATTCAAACGATTTCTTTCGGATAACAAAATAAAATATCATAATTATTTTACTCTGTAAGATTATTGTTGATATATTAATAATCGCGATTTATAATATGTTATTAAAGAACACAGCGAAAGGGAGAATAATAATTGCATGCACGCGTGCATGCATGCATACATGCATCACGACAAGTGAGTTACGTAAGAAATCTTTACCTGTATTGCGAGTGAGATGAGAATTACTCGGTGCACTGGCGGTACTACTTCCAGGAATGATATAACGGTAAACTATACCAGGATTGGGCTCTTGATACAGCACCTATGTAAAATAAAGCGGATCGATTTGAAAAAGCCAACGTAAAGGGGAATGGGAAAATAAGAATTATGAGAAATAGATAAAGAAAAAGAGAGAGAGAGAGAGAGAGGGAGGTACATTTTTCTTAAGATCGAAAGTTAGATCTTCGTGTTTGGTAGCCTACGGTCATCATAAAATATCGAGGAATTCTTGGCATGCTCGTTTAGTATCCCTCTCTCTCTTTTTCCTTTTCTTTTTCTTTCCTTTTTTTCTACGTAAACGCAGAAGGAGAATTCTTATCGCGAAAACAGGATTATAAATAATATCAAATTGGCTCGTTACGTTCCGAATTTTTTGCTTATTTTGTGGGTGTGTGTGTGCATCAACCGTATATAAAATCGTTATTAAAGAATGGTTAAGGGATTCTTCCTCCTCCTTACCATAACATCGATGGGCTCGTGCAACGGACCAGTAGCAGAAAAACTTTCCAAATTTTGTGGGCTTTGCCGTATGTATACGAATGTTGTGCCAGCTGCGTTGTATTCGCCTGACCAATTGATGCTGTAGTTACCGTTGAACAAATAACTGCCATTTTGCAATCTGATAGCTGATAATAATATCATAAATTATCTATTTTAATCCTTTTCAACTTTTTCTTTTTTTTTTTATCTGCACGTGTGCGTGCGTGCGTGCGTGTGCGTGTGTGTTTTTTCTTCTCTTTCCGGCCGAACAAATTTCGACAAAAATATTCAAATGTTATGACGAGATGCTGCGATCTCGTTTCTTTCTGTGTGTGTGTGTGTGTATGAGAGACAAGATAAAGACAAATAAAAGATGATAGTCATCGCGAGTAAAAGAGGGATCAATGATCTCGTATGATAAACGAAGAACGGAGAATCGAAGAACTACGATCGTACCGTAAGATTTATGTAATCCACGTGACATTATGACAACTACTGCATCCAATTTAGCACGAGTGAGACACACGATGCCGTTTCTAACTGTCTTGTGCTTGTCGTGAACGGAGAAGGGATTGGATTACACGATACAAGAGACAAATTAAAATGCTCGACGACATGCTCGTGTCGTTTCACGAGATAAAAATTGAAGAGATAAGTATCTCTCGAGATAGGATAATAAAGATATAGTCATCTCCAAATAAGAATCGTCTATTCTTCTATGATTTTTTTTGTTTTCTTTTGTTTCTCTTTTCTATTTTCTCTTTTTTATTTTATTTTCCTTCCATCCAACAATAACTATTGTTAAACTTTTCAATTTGATCTCGCGAAAAAGGGGGAAAAATATAATTATATAGAAAAGAAAAATACTCTTTTGAATTTGATCTTGCATCAGGCGAGACGATGCAACATTTAAACAAACGATGCAGTTTTACTTGTTGTTACTTAACTGAAATGATCGTAAATAGAGGATTGCATTTGAAAAAACGTATGATTTATAATTCATTCGTGGTAAGAGGCTAATATAAGGTATTACCTTGCGTACTTGTTAAGCGACAACCACACCCCTTGACCCTATTAGAATCATCAAGTTACATATGCATATATGTATATATATATATTCATGCAATATATCGTATTTGGTGTTCGCAAAAGGAGAACGAGAATCAGCTTGAGCGGATTAATTCGTACGCGTTCGTCGAAAGGAAAAGTTTGTGAATATATTTAATGATCATCCTGACAAGAGATAAATATTATGCAAATGAATCAAAGAGATATTTTCCCATCCCGTTTACTCACCTAAATAATTTTGCGTGTGACGTAACTCGGTCACGTTCAATGCCACAGCACCTCGTGGTACGGTAGCCACAAGATTATAACCTGGTTCTAAGGTCGGTTCCGTGAAGATCCCATCGATCAGATGACTCTCGATTGAAATCACAGATAACTGGAAATTATAATCGTTTATCTTAGAAATATTATTGAATCTATCAAATGTCTCAATTAAACGATTTAATTATTTTATAATATATTTAATAGACATATTTTATCGTCAAAAATTGTTACGATACGAAAAAAGAGTATAATTCATTCATATAATTCTTTTCATGTATAGTGTATAATTTTATTATTATAATATTAGACTGTTTATGAAAATTTTCGTAGTAATATAAAAGATACACGTACGTGAACATTTTCGTAATAGAAATTACAAATTCTAACGGTGCGTTTCGTATTTTCGATCGCGACACTTGATAGATTCGATCGTGCATAAAAAGGAAGGATGCGATCGTGGGCACGCCTTTTATAGAACGTTTTTTCTTTTTTTATTCCCCTTTTTTTTTTTTCTTTTTTTCCACGGTACATCCGCGATAAGCATCTCTTGTTACTTCTTTTCATTATTATCTTCATCCGGACGTATAGCGAGGGGTAATGTATCGTTCATCTCTCTACGGAATAATCGGAGAGAATGGTTGCATACGTGTAATGCAAGTGTTCATTTCAACCTATAAATTATTACTCATTCTTATTATTATTTATAGAGACAAGATAATATACAAAGATATCAAAAGTATTAATTCGATGCACATAAATTAATAATTTATTCAAACGTAAAAATAATCTTTTACTTATTAGATACATTACCATAATTCGATAAGTCATTTAAATGTATTAAAGAAAAATGACAAGAAAAAAATATTTAAAAAATACACAGAATATGATTGAGAATTGCAATTTTAACATTGCACATTATTTAATAATCCAAAAATTACTTCATTTCCAAGAATTATTTATCATAAATTGACTTGTGATTCTAAATATACTCGACACGTGTGTGTATGGACGCGGTTTAAAAGAGGAATAATTTAAACAAAAAAAGAAAAAAGAAAAACCAAATGGAATAAAACAACAACACCGTAACAAATTAGAAAACGAAGCGTTAACGAGAGCGTAACGTTTCTCGATATAGGTGAACATTATACGAAGACGATGGTTTTCAAGCGAAATGAATAAACGTCCGAGTAAAAGCTTTTCTAGCATGGTGTTATGGTTGTTGATCGTAATAAGAGCCTTGCTATCTATCTCTCTTTCTCTCTCTCTCTCTCTCTCTCTCTATCTTTTTATTTCTCTTTTCTATTTCTTGTTTTCTTCCTATTTTCTCTCACTCACTCTTTCTCTATTTCTCTCATTTCATTTATACATCTACATATGCATATAAATACACCATTTCGTATAAAGCAAGGCAAATTTAGAAGGACAAGGAAGAGATCTTTGAAATTTTCGTCTGGTCGTCGTCAAAATCAATGCAGTTCTTCCGGCACGAGAATAAGATGACGACGAGGAGGAGGAGGAAGAGGAGGAGGAGGAGGTGCATGAACTATGATAGCATTTAAGCCGACTATTATGGCTATTACGCGTCCTCCTATCGAAAATTACCCATCATCGAAACCCGTCGAGTTATATTCGATTAGGGGGAGGGGAAGAGGAGGGGCGGAGGAGGGAAGGGAGTGGAGAAACGATTTAAAAGAGAACCGAAGAAAATTTCCTCCTCTGATTTTTCTTCTTCTTCTTTTTCTTCTTTTTCTTCGACATTTTTTCGTTCTCCTTCACGTCTACTTTTACTTTTTCTTTACTTAACTTTATTTTTCCTATTTTCTTTAAGGAGTAAGGTGCCAAAAATAAAGTCAGCCGAGAGGGAACGCGTGCATAATTGGCGCGTGCATTCACTTACGACCTAGAAGATCGTTGCATATTTATAAGAAAAGTGAGATCGCTTGATTTTGTATATATATATATATATATATTTTTGTATTTTTATTATTATATTTTCCTCTTTTATCCATCCTTTTCTATATCTCTCCTTCTCTTTTTTTCTCTCTGTCTCTCTGTCTCTTACTTTTTGGTTTTTATTTTACCTTCCCTTTTTTACACTTCTTTCCACGTCGGATTGAGTTATATTCAAAGACACATTCCACTTGAATTCTCCTTTCTCCACGTACATATATATATATTTATAAATGAATATATTCTACATCACTAGTACAGTATTATATACTATATATATATAACAATACACACACATACACAAAGAAATTAAAATGGTCTCTATTCTTTCGTAATCTCAATTATTAAGTTATCCTATCGTAGGAGGTTAACGATGGATCGTCTAACATAAATGTAATAATATAAAGCTATGGAGAACACTAATCGTTTCTTTTGTCTATCCATTATATACCATCTACGTAATATGTATGAAACTAGTATATAATATAATACAAGTTTAGCTCATGCGATATTCATACAATTAATATGAAAGCATCTTTGACTCGTGTGACAGATAAAGTCGACGTACGGGTTCGTATAAACCATCGGTCTCGGCAGTTAATCCAACAGAGAGAAAGGGAGGAGTGTCCCTTTTTGGGTGCGGCTTTTATTCGATCGATGGATCGAACCTATCGATCGAACGGATCGATCGATCGGAAGCTGGTCAAAAAAATTGTCCGATACAATTTTTTTCGTACTGGATCAACGTCGATCTCTTTCTTTCTTCTGTCTCTCTCTCTCTCTCTCTCTTCAATTGGAATAATATAGATGTTCTGAAAGAAGTTTCGAGATATCGATGTGATCTCCGTGAAAGGGATACCTCGTAGCAATTAAATCGATGCGAAGGTTTTTTGCTCGAAGAATTTAATCGGATGAGAATCGACGTTCCTGCGTATGTGTCTGTGTGTGGGTGTGTGTGCTTGTGCGTGTGATAAAATCTTATTAAAAACAAAAATAAAAAATAAGAGTGAGTGAGAAGGGAAGTGGGGGGAAACGGCGTGTAATCATGTGGCAAATTCGATATGCCTTTTAACGGTGGCCGAGGCGCGAACGGAAAGATGAATGCACCACTCGACGTGTAAAATGAAAATGATCCTCTCGATATGCGGTCGACCTCGGGGAATCGTTTTGAAAAGAAAAACAAAAAAAAAATAGAGAAAAAGAGGTAAGAAGGGACGGAAAAGTTGGGAAGGTGGGTGGGGGTGGAGAGAGGTAGCTAGCTAGCTAGCTATTGGTAAGAAACACGTTTACGTTTTCCTTTAATTTCATTCGATTAATAATAAGTAAAAGGCAAGCAAGCAAGCAAGCAAGTTAGCGAACAAACAGGCGGCAGACACAAGTTTTAATCGGAAGGTACGGAATGCGAATTTGCCGTGCGAAAAACTGCTTATCACGTTGCACGTGATTTTATAAAATCATAGTAAGTTGAGTGCTCCCGTATCGAGAACGAGCTTCTGTTTGGATAGTCTCGTTCGAAAACAGGTGCGTCGCCACTTGCCCGAGCTCTGATTTACACGATACAGAATAAAAAGAAGAATAAGAAAATAAGAAGAAGAAGAAGAAAAATAATTTGGTTTCTTTCGTTTCTCTTTTTTAAAAAAGAATTCCTTTTTCTTTTATATATATATATACTTTTCCTCTCGTTCACTCTTACTCTATTACTTTGTCTCATTTTTTGTTTCCTTTCTTTTTTTTTCTTTCCAATCCGCTTTCTCTATCTCTATTTTCTTTAAAGAAGAGTACGAGAGAGTTTCCTCCTGCCGATACATCCTCCGGTGTCTAAGAATACGCGTTACTCGCAACATTTAACCGAGGGAACGCGTTCCACACGATGTGAAACTTCCTGGATAAATCTTCTTATGCCACAATATAAATATATATTATATATATATATATATATATATATATATATATGTATGTGTGTGAGAGAGAGAGAGTGAAAGAGAAAGAAAGATAGTAAGATTTTCGAAGCAAAGCACACACACAAACTTACATTTAAAAATTCTTTTATCGATTCTATTCTATATTTATTTCGTTTTTATTTCACGATGAATCTATTCGTTAATGAAATGATTTCATTATTCGTTACGGTGCGTCTTCGCGTTATCGATAATGAAATAAAATATATGTAAGAAAGTATGCTCGTAGATTAATTCCTTCCATCCTTCCTTCGAGATAGATAGGAAGAGAGAAAGAGAGAGAGAGAGAGAGATTAATTCATTTTCTTTTTATATATTACCAACGATATTTAGAGAGAGAGAAAAAGAGAAACGTAGTAAGTAATTCTTACGAACGAGATTTTTGAGAGTCAGATAAAAAGTTAGTCTTCCTTCGTAAGAGAGAGAGAGAGAGAGAAAAAAAAAAAAGAAGATAGAAAGAAAGTTTCTTATCATCGAAGAAACGAAAGTAACCTACCGTCTTGTCCCGTGATTATTATTTTTATTGCTTGGTAGAGAGAAGACAACCCATCGTTGAGGATTATCTCGCGGGAGAGTACGAACGAACGGACCAAATGAGAAAAAAAGGAAAAAAAAGAAAATAAAGAAATAAATAAAAAGAACGAGGAAGGGAATGAGGAAGGATGAAAAAGAATAGGAAGTATAAAGTAGTGGGAGTAGGGGGGGGGATCTTATGGTGAAAGAAAAAGACAGAGATAGGCGGAAGGACGGACAGACAGATAAAGAATCATTTTTCAGGTCGTTTTGGAAGATCAACGAAGTAAATATGCCATGGCATGGCGTTTTTAAGCGTCAAGTAACCCGTGTAAATCGTATAAGAGTAAGTAAGTAAAGTAAGTAAGTAAGTGAATAAGAAGAGAGAGAGAGAGAGAGAGAAAGAGCAACCACGTTATACTCGAAACTATAACGTGGTCCTCCTGTAATTTGTCTTTCGACGAGTCTCTTTGGACGCGTAGGTCGTCATCCGAACGGTTGGTAAGGGCCCATAAGGGGGAAAAAGGGGGCTTGGGGATGACGAAGAGAGAAAAGAACAAATTGAACGAACGGGCAGGAAGATTTTCGAGAAGCTTTACAAATTATAATATTCGACCGTGACACACCACGACTCTGATCGTCCTATGGCTATTTTTGGTAAGTCAACCCTTTCTTTCGTTCCTTTTTTGTTTTTTTTGTTTTGTTTTTTAACTTTCTCCTCTCTCTCTTTCTTTCTTTCATTTAATTCTCTCTTTCATAAAACGAGGATCGTGTTACGGGTTGCAATAACGGCAGCTTTTATAGTCGAAGCGAATGCGAATGCGATTTTACTGCTGGTACGAAAAAAAGTATAACGAACGTATGAACACGCGAAGACAGATCGAGTGGAAGGAAGGAAGGAAGGGTTTTTTCAAAGATGATGAAGAGAAGTGAGAAAAGTTTCTCTTTCTTTCTTTCTTTTTTCTAATCTATGCTAGCTACTGGTAATAAACGTTCGATTTTTTTTCTTTTTTCTTTTCTTTTTTAACGTATAATAAAATCGGTAAACGAGAATCTTATATGAAATGTTTATTATTTATAGATATAGGTAAGATGAGAGAAATTCAATGGTATTTCCTGTGTATGTTAGAATCGTGACGAGAGATGATAGGAAGAAGGTAGGAAGGAAGGAAATCTGAATATATATGTATGTGTAAAAAAAAAAGAGAGAAAAATAAAAAAAGTATATATTTAAAGAGCTAGGTCGACGTGGCGAGTTTCATGATCATTCGTTTGATATATGATATTGGCACTGATGTCATATAGGAGGGGGACGAACGAAGAACACCTTAATGGTGCAATAAATCAAACCTCGATACCTTTAGTATATACCGCAAATGCATAACTTACCGTTAAAGTTAGCAGCAGAAGAGTGTAAAACAGTCCGAGTAGTTGCTGCATTTTCGACGACAGGATGACAACCGCGATGAAGTTGACGAAGAACAAGAAGAAGAAGAACAACAAGAAAACCGAAGAATTCTTTTCTTTTTATTTTCAATTCAATTACGATGCATCATCGTTCGTTCGAATTTCTTACGACACCTTTTCTTCTTATAATTCTCGAATGATATAGAAATAAACACTGATTCGAGCACGTACAACACACCCACCCACGCACCGAGAAACAATTCGACAAATTTTAAATCACATCACAAAATTTCTTTACATATGTATGTATATATATATATATATGTGTTTGTTCGAGTTCACAGCGAGACACCTTCCAGTTCTTCGAGAAAAAAATGAAAGAAAAAAAGAAAGATTTGACGATTATAGGAATATTCTTTAAGAGACACAAGGGGGAACAATTGTCAAGCGTTACGATACGGCAGATAGCGAATGATATAAAACTAGTTATCGTTTTTACTAAACCTAAACTATTTATAAGATAAGAACAAACACACGAGAGTGAGACATGTTGAATCCGCGTAAACTGTTGGTGCTGCAATTTTAACGATTTAATGAAGTGTTTAGCGCTGATCTTGTTAGTAGGTCATGTAAGTGACGTTTACGAAGAAGAAAATTTCATTTGTAAATTAATCGGGGGAGAAATCATGATAACGAATAGATAAATAGAATAGATAGATCTTTTCGTTTTTTTTCCTACGATCGACGAATTATTTTATATATTTTAATTGTTATCGCGATTGTGGTATCATTGATACTATATTAATTATTGAAAATTGTTGTTGTTAACGTGTATATATTAAAATAGCGGGTGCGTTACATAGCACACACGCACACACGCGCGTCTTTTTCATGCTCCAGTTGTCAACCATCGGGACTTAGAATTGAACGATTCTAAATGCAGTCTAAACACACGAGGAAATAACTCGAACGGGCGGGAAAGGAAAAGAAATCGTTTGTTTATCGATAATTGATCGAACCATCGATAGATCTATAGATCGATAGATTGATCGAACGAACTTACAAACAGGAACTTCTTTTCTATGTTATTATTATTTATCGATTATTTGCAAGCTTTTAATAGACGTTAAGAACGATAATTAGTTTGTGTCTAACGTCTCGCGTGAGCTCGATTAGAATCTTTCGTTCTTTTTTATTTCATTCTCGGTCATCCTATTCCTTGTATACAATCGCGTGTACTTGTATCTGTGTACTTACATGCACATATATATATATATACATACATGCATGCATTAAACGCGTAAAATTACACTTCGTTACGCGGATATTAGCTGCGAAGCACGCGTATCAAAACAGATCGTAAATTAATTAAACCGTCTATCTTGGTACATACACGCAAGAACATAGTGCGCATACAACTGGTAAACCTTAAACGAGCAAGAGAAGAGAAGGGAAGGGAATAGAAGGGAAGAGAGAAGACATTTCTTACTAGTACTAGACGTGAGAACAATTTTTTCTCAGTGTTTTTAACGCGTATATAATTTATTCGTGTTATTTCTGATATTTCTGATATTAATCGCGGTAAATGCTTTTATACTTGATCTTTAACGTCGCAAACAGTTTGTTGTAAGTATCGTCGTTTCTCAATGATTTTTTCTTTTTTTTTTCTTTTTTAATATGCAAACTCCGCGGAATCATGTTAAAGGAAGAAAGAATGAAAGAAAGAATGAGCGAATCCTTTCAACGGATAGACGACTAAAATGCCGTTTATTTTTATGATTATACGTTGAACGCGCGACGTCGAGTACTATTAATAAGTTATTCCTCGTGTATATGTATGTATGTGTGTATATATAATATACGTTAGTATGAGTAAACGTGTCTACTACTATATGTATATTTGCGTGCGCTTTGGGAAAAGAAAAAAAAAAAATATAAGAAGAGAAGAAAAAAAAAATTAGGCGCCGATTTGTAGCGTGCAATTGATAGTAGGGTTAAGATATCTTTTGATTAGTGCAACAAACGCGAGTAATCGCGAGTAAAGCTTTTGCCGACGGTATCATCCCCCCCCCTCCCTCCCTTCTGCCCCGTCTTCCTCGTTGATTCCTCCTCCTCCTTCTCCCTTTTCTCCTCTACCACCTCCTCGTTTTTTTCTTTCATATGTCGATAAACGATAAGCCCACCAAAGTAGACTTGGTTCTTTCTTCTATGAGAAAGAAAAACTCGAGCAAGAAACTCTTGAGATATTGCAAAGTCAAGGTCGATCGTTTAAAAAAAGGAAGAAGAAGAAGGAGAAGGAAAAAAAGTAGAACAAATTTGAAGCGGTTCTAAAATAAAATAAGCGAGAGAGAGAGGGAGGGAGAGAAAAAAAATGAAACACATACTTATACTTTTATCTTCTAATCGTAAAACTATGTCACGTTTGAATACACGGGCGCGTGCGTGCGTGCGTGAATACGTGCGTGCGTGTAATTTAAAAAACGACAAGAAAAGAAAAAAGAAAGAAACAGAATTATCGAATATAAGCAACAACACGAAAGGAATATTAATTGACAACGTGGTCGCGCGTTTGACACCGATTATTAGGCAAATCAAATGAAACGAAGGATCATGTTTAAAGTTGGAATAACACGAAGTATCACTTTTCTCAACTTAGGCGGGAGAGATCACGGAAATGTATGCGCATAATGACGTACGTAATTCGAAGAAGATGAAGACGAAGAAGAAGAAGAAGAAGAACGTAACCTGTTGCATCGAGATGCAACAAGCTTAACTGACATTTACTAAAACGATTAAATGAAAATCTCAACAAAAGTATAGATGAGTGTATATCATCTTCCTGTCACCGTGGTTACCACGCGTTCACGAGATTAATTTGTTATATTAAATAAATAATGTTAATCACTTCGTACGTGCGCTTAAAACATTTTTATTGGTTCCGATAAAGCCACGGTATTCGAGATCGATTCGTAACATCGAACAGATGATGACACGTGAGATACTCGAGAATATTTTAATACAAATGTCACCGAAAAGTTTCCCAAAAAATTGGCACGTTCACCGATAACAATTTTCCCCCACGTATTTTTATATACCGATCGAATTCGTATCACTGTGAAGATATTTTCAATCGAATAGAAGAGAAAAGAAATGAATAATATAAAAATAAACAAAATAATAATAATAATAATATCACGATTACGTTATCTTACAAATTCATCTCGAATCTAATCCGAACACTCGGAACGTTTTTAACCGGGAGTAAGGGAAATGAAATTTTAATTTGTTCAATGAAATAGGATGGGAAAAAGATGTATGGATATGTCTGTGTACGTTTAAACGTGTGTATGTTTTAAATAAATAAATAAATAGTGAAAGAGAAAGAAAGAAAGATAGATAGAGAAACAAGGAGGCGTATTCTTCCGGCGTACTTTCCAGAGGTGTCGTTTAGAACTGACGGTTCCCCACGATGGTGGAGCAACTTTATACTTGCGGCTAGCACTCTCTGAGAGAGGAGAGTGTGCGGTATGAACGTGGCTTAAGGCGCCACTACTATGCCACGACGCCACACAACCACTGTCACCTGGCAACGAAACGTTTCCAATTACCATACTGTCTGACACTATGGTAACTATTGTAGAATGCATCATTCATTTACTTACAATAATATTCATCAGTTCAATCGAATTATTTTTTTTTTCTTTATACAATTCAACACCATACATTATAATCCTAAACTTCGTTTACTTTATCAATTTTGTCTGTATGTTTTATTAGGGTGAAACCAAAAGTTCGCACGTTGTTTCGGATTGCGTAATTTTTTTGTTTTTGTTGAAGTCAATTAATGAGCGAGATGTTAATTTAAAAAAAAAATGCACGAACTTTTGTGTTTCAATATAATAATTAGAGATTCTTGGATTTGGATTAGAAACGCGACTTTTTTTTTTTGGATATTAGTTAGTGTTTTAAAAACAACTATCGTCGTCTAGTTTAGTTTTTTTGTTATTTTTTCGAATGTTTTTTCATTACCAGGAATTATCTCATCTCGTAAAGGATGAGAGAGAGAGAGATCATCGGCATGGGGATCCGATGACCAGGATAACGCGTTTTACTTATCTCTCGTACAGATGAGAGATCTTCGTTACGACCGGTTACCCCTTTTGCCTCCAGTTTATTTTTATATTTTATTTTTAGTTATTCCTTTTTATATTCGTTTTTTTTTCTTCTTCTCCTTTTTTAATACACTTTCTTCCATTGGAAATTATATCGAATCGTTCTTCTGTATCCAATATTTTTGTTCTTTTCAATTCGAGAATGTAATTCTCCTGGTAATAAATTTTACATCGTAGTATAAATTGTGTTAATTAAAATCAGTTAACGTTTGTCGATTAATCATTGGTAAATACATCTTTCTCGTTGATAGATTTTGTTATAGATAATAAATGGAAAAAAGTGTAAAATTTGGAGGATAAACAAGTACGCAAGAAATTTTATATAAACTAAAAGGAACGAAAAAAAAATATATGATCGGTGTTAAAAAATGGTTTCACGATTAAGACTGAAATAAAAAGATCGATCTAGTTTATATCTTTCTAACGAAGAAATTTGTTTGTAATGAGAACATTTAAATTTGGATCTTACGTTCTGAAGACTCGAGGAAAGAAAAAAAAGAAAAAAAGTATTATATAAGAATCTGATCGAACATTTCAAATCGTTGGATAGAATTTTATTTTATACACTTAAATAATATAATGACTTCTTTATTGAGAATGATATTAAATAAAAATATTTAAAAAAAAAATGATCTAACGTTATATAAATAATGTTCTAACATCGATCGAATATGCATAACAAATACGTATTTAAAATAATAACGTGAGTCGTTTATGAATTTGCAAAAAAAAAAAAAAAAAGCCAGACGATGAAATAATGCGTTACGATATGACGTTTTATAGAGACGACAAATTTGAAGATCAACTAGGATAATCTACAATTTCAACGCATCGTATAAGCAAGTAAGCAACCTAACTAACTATGAGCAACAAGCTCTGTGTAGAAGAAATTATTGACGTGCCGTTGAGATGAAATTAACAGCGCCAGTCTGGCCGATGGCGTTAAATTGCTGCATTCCTAGAAGACTATTAGAAACGTGTTGCATCTTGTTCGTTTAAATCGTATCGAATAGAAAAGAAACAAAAATAGACAAAAATACTATACTACTTGACGAATTCGTCAAGTTATTACTTCAAATTAGTATATCGAGAGAGAGAGAGAGAGAGAGAGAGATAGAGGTAATCGATAAAATAGAATAAGAATAATCGATCAGTATGTTTTTTAATCATTAAAAGTGGATAAAAATGAGCACAGGATCACACACACACACACATATATTCATTAATCGTTGCAGCTATTACGATGATGATGATGATGATGATGATGATGATGATGATGATAATCTAGCGAAGCGCAGAGATAACTTCCGTTTTTTGCTACCTTCATTGGTGGTGTCAACGACTCGATGACACGATTCATTAGTATCATTAACGTCGGGTCAACGTTGCCCTGCATAGATAGATAGAAAGAGATAGAGAAAGATAGAGATAGATGATAAGGATCGATGGGATACGAACGTGGAATAACTCGCACACGGGTTTTAACGATAATTATGCCAAGGTGACTAAACTTTAACGTCAGTTCTTAAACTGAAAAGAGAATAAAAGGATAGGAGGGAGGAGGAGGAGGAGGAGGAGGTGTCATTCGATTGAAACGGTCAATTAGATGATCGTTAAGAAAAGGAATAGAAAAAAAAATCTTAAAACAAACCGTCGGGAAACATTGTCCATTATATTCGAAGATAATCTCGATATCTCGAACATGTCCTACTCCTATTATAGTTCTCTTTTCTTTAGCGAATCGTGTCAAAGAGTAACAACTTGGAAATACACGGAGGACCAGAAAGATAGTGAGTGAGTGAGTGAGCGAGCGAGTGAACGTATAACGAGACAAGTTCCAATTCTATGGGGTCTTTTTTTTTTCTTTTATTTTTTAATTCTCTTTCATTCTTTCTCTCTTTCTTTCTTTCTTTCTTTCTTTCTCGAGACCTCGAGCTTGTTATTTATTATGCCATAGGAAAAATAAGCTCTCCGCGCGTTAAAGTCCGGTGCCCGAGGTCTCTCTCACACTCTCTCTCTCTCTCTCTCTCTCTCTCTCTCTCTTTTTCTCTCTAATGGCATCTCGAGAAGGACTTTATCGGCCCGGAATCCGTTCTCTACGTCCACTCGACAACCGCCGACTCGGCCCCGCAAACGGTAAGCGTGGTTTAATATTAGAGTATGAGCGGATCCGTTAAAAATACTTTACCCGATGCGAAATTCGGAAAATCGCGAATATTCCGAATTAAATTCTTTATAAACACTTATGTTAGAGGACGACCTGAAAACCTCGTTCGAATAATTCTTCTCGTGGTATGACCTCGAGTATCATCCCACCCCGCCCTCGCCCCTAGTTCGCCACCCCTCCAAAGTTCTTGCCCTCTTCTTCAATCCTTGACGAATTTTTGATTAAATTACGGTTGACTTCCTTGATCCATATTTTGAAGTTTTCGTTGTTGTTTTTGTTGTTATCGGTTCCAACCATAATCGTCATTTATTATCGTAGAAGAAAAACATACTCTTAACCAGGATAGGAGGAGGGGGAGGGGGAGGGAGAAGGGTGAATTATTATTCTTCGTTCGATATGTTTTTCCTCTCCTATTACCATTTCTCATTCTCTCTCGAATTGGAGTAGGTCTTCTAGCCACTGTTTAATGTCATTAATAAAGTTGCATCAGCAGCAGCAGCAACAGCAGCAGCGTGCCCGAACGCATGCATTATCGGTGATACATCGGTGAAACACACAAGGAGTGGTTCGAATAAATGGATCGATGAGATGGATGCGCGAAGTAATAAGAAAGAGAGAAATAGAAATAGATAGAGAGAAAATGATATCTATTATAGTTTTAGGACCATCTCTTTCTCTCTCTTTCTCTCTCTCTCTCTCTCTCTCTCCCATTACTAACTACTACTATTACTATTATTATTATTATTATTACTCGATATAGCACAAAGGAAGATTATCGCACGGCATCTTCCTAGAAAAAGAGAGAGAGAGAAAAACAGAAGATCGAAAACAGAAACGCGTAGGTATATCTAGGAAGTAAGAGTAATATAAATGGATCGGTTAGAACGACGTAATCTGAAATATTTCAGATATGCGACTTGGAAAATCGTTAATGTATAACTTACTTATACATATACATATATATATATATACATACGCACAAATATACATATATATATCTTTATATAAGATAGTATAGAACGCCTTACGTCAAAGTACTTTACATAAATCTGCCAGCAAAGGAGAGATCTCGAAAGTTTCGAGCATCTACTAACCACCACGACCACGATCACGACGATCAGGATGAGGAACGACAACTATGAAGGGGAGGAGGAGGAGGAAGAGGAGAAGGAGAAGGAATACTCTTCATCCGATATATAACCCTTTCGGCATCTCTCTTTCGATAAATCTTTGTCCGTGCATAGTGGTGATCGTTAATTCTAGCGAAATAAGGATTCCCCCACCTCCTCCCTTCTCCCCCTATATCATCGACGAGTCTCTCCACGGGTTTCAATCGAAACGTTAGAAACTGGTTCGTCGTTACTACTTCCCTTTTATCGGTACTTTGAAATTAATCTATAAAGTATTTTAAGATCGTTTAGTTTTTCCAGATATCTAATACGCAGGATAGATAAAACTTGGCTGAAGGCTAATCGTGATCCCGTTGTTATCGTAATTTTTGTCTTATAATAGGTTGAAAGAGGATGGATAATATTATATATATATATATGTAAAAAGAAATAGAAGTAGGAAGAAAAGTTATTTTAGAGTTGTCGACAAAGTTCGAACGAGTTTAACGATTCTAAGAAATCGTATTTCATTGAAATTTAATGCAAATAAAATAGCAATTTTATATATAATATTGAATAGGACTCTGTGCAAGTCGGAACTTTTGATGATTACGAGTATGGCGACACTACCAATCGACGAGGGCATAACTATTCGCATAACGATTCGCATTTGCGTTACCCCATTCGTTACCAATGCAATTTGTTACAATATCAAAGAGTATAATCCGTACCAGATCGTCGTCGTCGTCGTCGTCGTCGTCCCAATGTCATTCAAAATTCCTCTAACGTTCCCTTCTAATCCAGCTTATGGTCGTTTTTACGTCTGCGATTAACCGCGATATTTCATTCGCGACCTTGTTAAAACCGTCAGATTTACTATTAGATCGTTGAATATACTACATACGTGTTCTTGTATTTATATATTAAATTACGAATAATTATCTTCAATTATTGATAATTTTAGATCGTATTTTTTAATGGTATAACAATAATTTAATTTCTTCGAATTCGAATATAACTTGGAAAAATCTTTAAGTATAATACTAACATAAGTTTGCTATAAATTTACTTGTGAAAATATTCCTCGTTGGATTTATATTAAATAAAACAAAAAATAGAAATAGAAGAAGAAGAAAAAGAAGAAGAAAAAAAAGATGAATTAAATCGCGATGTATTTTCATCGATCAAGGTAATATCTAAAGATCATAACGTTTCCATATATAATTTGCTTAAGCTTTGAGAACTAGGTATAATTTAAAATCTTATTGGCATATGACTAATTTACAACACGACTCGGAATCATTGCGTGTGTGTTTTACGCCTACGCTTTCAACGTTAATACGTATACGTGAGGTACGTAACGGTGTGGTATATATATATTTAGTTGGACATAGTAAACGTAGAAATCATTTCTAATGTAAGTCTTATCTCATTTGAAAATTCATGCTACTACCAGCAACGAATTGCGTTTGATAGGTGCGAGTAAAACGACGGGGTACGCAAATCATTAACTTTGTCGCACGTGTTAAGATCGTTAAACGGGATCGTAAGTTTCGATTCTTATATTGCACGATTTTTTTAAATAGTAAATATAATCGCATAAATAAAACAACTCGTAAAGTTCATTGAGTAATAGTACTTTAATCGTTGCGCTATTATAATTTCATTCCTTTGCCAATAAATTCATTTCTAACTGATCATTATATTATTATTATTATTATTATTATTCGTTGATACGAAAATTCGACATGAAAAATGAATGATATACGGTATGATTTAAACAAATTATATTTTATTTCTTAATTTTTTTGTTCTTTTAATAAAATGACACACAGTAGGGGCAATTAAATCGACGATTGATATTAAACGTTGAGTTTATCGATAAATTCCTCGACCATGGCGATTTGTTTTTGTAAGACCTTGACCGCATCGTCAATGAGTTTCTGTTCGAACACGTTAACCCTACCGAAACCTAAATTTTTATCAATGCCAGCTGGCCCGAGTAGCAATTCATTGGAGAAGAAACGAGCTGGCGTCACGCGAGATTCCGTGTATGCGGAAATAATCACGTTGGGCTCGTGGTGAATGGCACGACTAAGATTGTGAATGAAGTACATGGTTGCCGATGCCATGGAATATGTTGTACTTGATTTCTTCGCCTAAAATTTGTATTCAATGATATTTTTGTTGTTGTAGAATATAAACTATCCACGCGTTAATTGGTAATAATAATATCTATATCATTGTGTTTTTATCGATAACAATACGTTATTATTATTTGCGACAAATAGCAAGATCGTAAATAACGATTGGTTGTATGGAATTTCACAGAATCGGTTCTAATTTTATTTCATTATTCTATCCCCCTTCCGCCCCCTCCCCCGCCCGATTATAAATGCTTCAAGGTTGGCGCCAATAAGCGGCCTTTTAATTTCCGTATTTGTCAAATAAAAGAATATTAAAATTGCATTCTTTGGATAGATTCTTTTAGTCTTCGCAATAATGTGTGAAAAAAGGAAAGAGAAAAAACAAAAAAATAAAAATCAAAAGAAGTAATAAACCGTTTAAGTTAATTACCTTCACGACCTTCTTCCCGGCTATTCTAACGGCCTTGGTAAGCTTCATCATCTCCTCTGGCGTCAATTCTATGCTAGGTCGACACTTAGAGAACAATGGTACGGTGGTATTCTCCGAGTGACCACCCACAACGGGAACGTAAGTCCACTTTGGATTGGCACCAATCAAATCGGCGAAATAATGGCGAGCTCTTAATTCGTCCAAATAGCAAACACCAAATAATTTGGCTGGATTGTAGCAGCCATTTTTTTTGAATATATGCGCAGCCACGGGTACCAAAGTGTCTATGGGGTTTGATACTATTGCTATCAATGCTGTTGGACACGATTCTACGCAGGCCTTGCATATGTTAGCGCAAATAATTGCGTTGTCCTATTATAATAATCAATTAATTTTAAATATAATATAGAGTATATCGTTTTTTGATTCTCGTTGGAAATGTTTTTTTCTTCTTCTTTTTTTGTGTCAACATACAAACCGAAAAAAGATGTTCTCGCGGTGTATCCTTCTTTCTTGATGCACCGGCCGATATTACAACGATGTCCACGTCGCGTAAACCTTGACAAAAGTTCTCCATTCCACCAATACCATAAACAGGAAGTCTCGTAGGCAATTGATTTAATTCTTCGACTATTCCCGACGGATCGCTTCTATTCAATAATCGAAGTTCCGTTAATGATCCAGGAAACATCTTTAATAAATGCGCCAAAGATCTACCAACACCACCCAAACCGACGATTGCAACGCGACATTCTTCTATGCAACGTAATTCGCTTCGATCTCGTGGCAGGCAATCGTTCGAACCATGCCTTTTCGTAAGCTTTGTTAAAAGTTGGATTTTTTTACTAAATACTTCGTTATCGTTAATACGTTTATCTAAAATCGACAACATTTCGTAAAGGCAACGTGTTCGTAACCTCATTTTCTATTATTGTATTTTTCTTCTCCTTTTTCTTTTTTTGGAAAAGAAGACATTACAAATAAAAAAAAAAAAATATCAACGAGACTATTCACGATTCGTGGAAGAATTTTTCTATTTTTTTTTTTTTATTCCTGATTCATATTAACCGAAAAAATATATTGAATTACTCATAATTTTAATATGCCCCTTTACGTGTGCCGCATTTAATTAGCAATTCTAACTTCACATATATGATTCGATTTAAATGATTAATCGCAATGACGTAAACTATAAATAAGTATTATACTAATTCAAATTTTTTAATATCTCGCACACATCGATAATACAGTATCGAGAAATCCCAATACCAACTATAGGTATTGTAAAATGATCCATTTTATGACCGTAGAAACGCTGGCAAGGAATCTTAAAAACAGAAAAAAATTGAATAAATGCTCTTAATTGCACACTATTTGCTCAATCAAAATCCACAATTGCTAACTTTATTAAATAATTATTTAATTAGTTATTAATATATGGTAGTGAAAAGAAATAAGTTAATAGTTCATAATGTATAAACAATATGTTTTGATTGTCTTCTACTTTTTAAAATATATATCTATAAAAAACGCATTTGTGAAGGCACACACGTATTTAGACACTAAAAATTAAATATAATTATTTTACATTTTCTTACAATATAACTATACTATATATACTATCAAAGAATATTGTATTCTCATCGTGTACCGTCATCGCGTTAAGTACATGCTATCGTCCAATGGTGGTCCCAGTGGTAACAAAAATAATGCTGGGTAGATAAAAAAGGGGACTTGTGAGTTTCTATATACTTCATCATAAAAAAGTTGGCATAGAACCGCAACAGCAGAAAAAAATGAAAAAATGAAAATATTTACCTATTGTTTATACATTATGAACTATTAACTTATTTCTTTTCACTACCATATATTAATAACTAATTAAATAATTATTTAATAAAGTTAGCAATTATGGATTTTGATTGAGCAAATAGTGGACAATTAAGAGCACTTATTCATTTTTTTTCTCTTGTTAAGGTTCTTTACCAGAGTTTCTGATTATGATATATGATTATGTCATGTTATTTTTTTTTGTGATTACGTTTTACCGACCGGAGATATAAAGGAAAAAGGGGGAGATCCAGTTGTTTCGATCATGTAACATCTAACGATATCGAAAAAAAAATATCTAAATAGTTTATATAAATGAACTATACATTTAACAATAATCACGAATTAGGAAAATGAATTTCTAACCGTTACGTACTTCGCGTTAATCGATCTGTCATTTTAATTTCATTCGAACCTATATAATTAATCACACATTTATTTATAAATATAACAAATATATATAAGGTAAAAAAAAAAAAAAAAAAGGAGAAAAAAAACGCGTTAGGTCTTCGTAGTTTTTCATCCGAAAAGTGCAATATTATGGGCAATTGCCTTAAACCGAGGGATCCCTTAGATGATATTCTTCCGAGAGAAAGCGGAATCGATGCATCTGCTGTTAGAGAGGCTAATCCACCGATTATATGCCTAATCGGTGGACCAGGTTCAGGAAAATGTTAGTAATAATATCGTATATAATAAACTTCTTGGGTATTTTTTGCTTTTTTTTTTCCTTTTAATACCTCAAAGTGGATTAATAATTTTTCTTTGTTTTTCTTGTTAAGTAACGCAGTCGTTAAAAGTAATAGAAAAATTTCGTTTGGTGAATATAATAAGTTCGGACATATTACGAGACGAGGTACACACTAGATCAGTTAAAGGAGTAGTTTTAGCAAGATACATGTCTCAAGGTAGATTGGTACCAGCCGACGTTTTGATAGAACTGATTAAAACGAAGATGTTGGCACATATAAACACGGCCAGAGGTTTTTTACTAGTAGGATTTCCACGTGAAAAAGATCAAGGAAAATTATTTGAAAGACAAGTTCGTACAATTCAATAGAATTTAGAATTAATTTACAATTTTCATTTAATATTCAACACTCGATGATATATTTAATTTGAATAGGTGAAACCGTTTGATCTGTTGATCTATTTATCGGCAAGGAATTCAGTATTACGCGATAGAGTAATGGCGAAAGCAGTTACGTTGACCGAAAGACTCGAGGCAAGTGAAGAAAAAATGAAAGAACGTATAAAAGGTTTTCACAAGATGAACAAACCGATATTACGTTATTACAAAAACAAACTCGCGGTGATCAACGCCGAGAACGACGATGAACTTGTTTTCGAAGATATATGTCGAGTGATAGAGAAAACATTGAAAACAATTTCACCGAAAACGTAATCGCGAATTAATTATTCTATTCCATGATAAGTATAGGTTTTGTAATTATTTACGATTATTAATTATTATTATTATTATTATTATTATTATTAAAAGAAGTATTGTGTAAAATTTGCATAAGAAGAAAAAAAGAGAAAAAAGGAAATAGATAACTATAGAAAAATTGAAAAAGAAAGTATAAATAAGTATAGTTTAAAGTTGAAAATAAGACGATCGAAAGTAAAGAAAGAAAGGAAAGGGAAGAAAAGGGAAGAAAAGGGAAGGGAAAGGCTATCAAAATTATAGGCAACATTTTTCTTCCTCTCGGTGTATCACGGAAGGAACATAATCCGCTATCACGATAAATAAGAGCACCCTCTTCTTCCTTCTATCCTTCCTTCCTTCCTTCCAAGCGAGGATCGAATCAAGAGAGTGAGCTATCCGGTATCGGGATGGCGTAAAGCGTGCTAACAAGAGAAAGAGAGATGCATAGATAGATAGATAGATAGATAAATAGATAGAAACAGAGATATTCTATTGGTTAGAGTAGGGTGGAAGAAAACACAGGTAACATGCGCGCGCGCGCGCGAATAGGTGCCTTCGACCTCTTTACGAGTACAGGAAAGGTAGAACCGAAATTGGAAAGCACCCCGGTGGCTTTGCCAAGAGAAGGATGAGGGATGGTAGTGGTAGGTGGGGTGGTTGCTGAGGGAGCTAGAGGAAAAGAAGAATGGGGTGGAAGAGGAGGAGGAGGAGTAGGGGGGCAGGAAGGGGGAAGCGATCGCTGACAAGCGAAAGACCGTATCAGAGGGTAATCCTATTGGTGGACGGTAACGTCGCGATGTCCTGGCGTCATTGGTCTGGCTAGTAGTTCAGGGGCGTGGCCACGATCCTTCCTTCGTTGGTAGGGGGAGGAGGAATCTCTCGGCTGCATCCCCGGCAACGATTACCAGAAAGCCACCGAGTGTCGTCCGAAGGCAGAAATCCAGCATGGCGGACAACACATCCCCCTTCAAAACGACTTTATCACCAACCACCACACAACCATCACCACCACCACCACCAACCCCAACATTGCTACTCTCGGCTTCCCATAGAACTTTACTTTCCAGGAAACGCGATCTGTTGATGAACGTGAACACTGGTCTGATCGATGCTGTCAAGTCCCACAAGAGTGAATTGTTTCATCCGGGGGGGTAGGATCTAAAGATACAAATAAAACAGTTTAAATGTGATTAAATTAGCTATGATTTTTAAACAATAATACTACTTGTCTATGAAATAATTTAATCATTAATATATATATATATATATATATATATATATGTATTTTTTAATATAAATTATTACAAATCGATCGTAAAATTAACTCCAGATTTTATTTGAAATTAACCGCGAGTTTATTTGGATATAGAAAGAAAAAATGATCGAGACGTATCAGAGAGAAAGAGAGAAAATTAATAGTAGTAGTAGGAATACTGATAATAATAGTGGTGTGGTAGTGTCGGTGATGATGGTGGTGGTGGTGGTAGTAGTGGTGTATCAGTAATAGTAGTAGTAGAAAGCATCGGAGTTTGACGGTCGCTGCTCCGATCGTTGCCCGTCGATCTCGTCTTTCGATCGAACCAACCAACAACCCCTCTCTCTACTCCGATATTCGAATTGGCGATCCCCCACCTTGGGTAGTCAAAGAGGCAGGACGAAAGGGACCTATCGGATAGAAGCGGTTTGCCGTGGAAGGGAGAGAACGTACTGAGAGAAAGAGGGGGTGGCGGTGCAGCGGGGGGAAGAAGGGATTGAGGAGAGCAGAGTGTAGCCAACGATCAACAATTGTACGTAGGAGGCCGAGATGGCGAGGGAAAGGGCGGAGAGGGGAGAAGGATGAATGAGCTAGGATCCTCTACACACTCATCTACTATTCCTACTACTATTACACAGTACTTGATGGCATGTTGGTGTAGGTGGTGGGTGCGCACGCGTCCTACCAGTCAGATACTTCCAGGAGGAGGCTCGTGTCGCGCGTCAAACGTGCTGGCTATAGGTTAAATCCTGGCCTTCCTTGTTTTTGTCGTTTTTCCGCCGTTGCCTCCTGATCCCGCCTTCAAAAGTGCCGGTCGACCAATCACCGCTAGAGCCCACTCTTACTTCTCTTTCTACCATTCTACTTCTCTACCTCTTTCACTTGCACTATCCGTCGTCTACTCTCTCTCTTTCTCATTCTCTGTGTGTGTGTGTGTTCTCTTACTCTTTTTCTCTTTCCATTTCTATCTCTTTTTCTCTCTCTCTCTCTCACTTACTCGCACCCACGCGTTCAAAGTATGGAAACCGAGTGAGACCGATGAATATACTAGACTACTACTAATACTACTACTACTACTGGTACTGTGTGCTGCTGCTACTGGCAACACGATGTCGACGTTCTTCTACCTCGACGACGAGGAACACGACGAACGGCAACGAGTCGACGACTAGGAACACGACGAGACACAAGATATTCGCGAGGTTTCCTCTCGTTTTGCTAGTCAACGGGAGAGAACACACTTAGTTCGAGGTTTGCTTGTTTTCTTCCTCGTTACCCTACTTTTTCCTAATCTATCTCTCTCTCTTTCCTTCTTTATATTCTTATCTCTCTTTTCTCTGTCTTTTTTCCTCTTTCTTTGCCGTTCTCCCTCTCTCTCTCTCTCTCTCTCTCTCTCTCTCTCTCTCTCTCTCTCTCTCTTAATTTCTACTTCTTCCTCCACCTCCTACTCCTTATATGCCATTCTTCTTCTTTCGCGTCTCTCTGTTCTCTTGCAATCGCTCGCGAACTTTGCTTCAGAACTTATTGAACGTTCGGTGCAATTGATTGCTTCATTTCACTTCACTTTGTTTCGTTAGTTAGTTAGTTAGTTAGTTCGTCCGTTCGTTAGTTCGTGGATTGTAATAAAATATATCGTAGTTTGATTAAAAAGTATCGTGTTACGACGACGACGACGACGACAAGTGATTTTTTAAATATCATAAAGCGGTAAAATAAACAGAAGAATCACGGAAAGGATCAGAGATTTTCTTGGCGAGCCGGAACTTGGTAATTACATTATTTATCTATTTATCTATATTATTTTGTGACACACAGTCGATTTTTTATATTATTTCTCATTGATCGTGAATTAAAGTGAACACCTAACGGGTAACGTTTTCGTTAGAATATCAATATAAGGATGATGATGTTTCTATTCGTTAGTATTATTTGTTTGATAAGTGATAACTGACTGACGAATGCGTATATTCGAAAAACAAGTGAACGTCTTTATGCATATTGTGTATCGAAAATAAAAACTGATGAATAATAAATTAATGAACGATCTTTTACGTGCGGTATAATTCTTTAACACATTGACAATAAAGTGTATACAATATGAAAATATATATCGTACAAAACAATAGTGATGCGATTTGAATAGTTTGATTCCGACATCGTACCGTAAATATTCGTCTTAAATACACGATCGTTATTAAATCAAAATTGTTACCTATATATTTGTCCGACAAAATCATGATCGTTTAACAATTTGTAGGCGAAGTTCCGTTGTTGCGATTCGATGATCATCGAGAAAACATCATGAACGGTGCAACGACTGTTGGTACTTCAGGAGATTTGCAACATCAGCAACAGCAATCGCAAAACGAAACGGGTTCGGAACATCCTCGAAGTCCTGCAAGTCCGCTCAGTATCCGTCACGGTGAGTGTTACTTTTCCTTTTTATTTTTTTTTTTTTTTGAGAGAGAAAGAAAGAACAGACATCAAAAAAGGAACGTTAATGAGAAATAAGAGGAGAAGAATACGCGTAAATTCGCTAGAAACGAAATTTCTCTCCGGTAGACGTCGAGACACGAAAATGGGCTTAAAAATTACGAGACTAACTAAGTTTACAGCAAGCGTGGGGATAATCAAATAAAAAAAAAAAAAAACAAAAAAAAAAGTAACTCCTATATATCTCTTTCTCATTTTCTCTCCTAGGCACGCGTCACATTTGTATTTAATTAATTAAACGAGAGAGAAAAGAAAAATCGTGTTGTCCCGTCGTTATTCTAATAAGTACCAGGTTGAATAGATCCAATGGAAATAATTATTAGAGAACTATGAAAATGTTTATATCACATCAGGTATCCTTTATAATCGGATTCCTATCGAATAGATCAGACTCCAGTCAATCGGTGTGAGAGAGTAAAGATAGACAGATACTAGAATATATATATTTCTCGTGTGTTCGATAAAATCAATCTGCGAGCGATCACGCTCGCGTATGCTGTCACACGTAACACATTCACGACGTACACACAACACACGGCTGGCTAGTACCACGATTATTCCTTTGATTCGATGCTTTCGAAAGCTCTCATAATGTCGTTATCAGTTAAATCCAATGCGTATGTGTGAACATGTATTGCACACGCATCGAATACGCTAATATACGAATCGTTTCTCACACAACCAATGTTGTCTATACGTTTAACCAGTATCTATCTATCTATCTATATATATGTATATATATGTGTGTGTGTATATACAATAGAATACGGGGAACATCGTTAGGCCATTAGAGTAATGAAATTTCGTTATGGTCCTGGCGGAATGCACGACACGATGCGGAACCTCGTCGAACGTGTGGGGTTAAACGAGAAAGAAGAAAGTGTCTTCTCTCGACGTCTCGAAGCTTCACAATTGAAATCTACGATGAAGGTGATGGGGAGAAATAGAGAGAGAGAGAGAGAAAGAGGAAGAGAATGCACAAATAGGTAGCACTAATACATAGAGAACGGATGCATATATATATGTATATGTGTATGAGAATGAGAGAGAGAAAGATAGGCGACAGCAGGGGCGTCAAATTTCATTAGCATATCAATGCTGGCGGATGGCGAGGCGCCACCTGCGTCCCCCGTATTACGGGATCATCGTTGGATACTTCGAACGATAGGGGGATAACAGGGGGGGAACGGGGTGAAGAGAAGTAGGGAGGTAGGAGGGCAAGGGGATCGGCAAACGGTACACTGTATATTTCGAGGGACGCTCCGATGGTTTTCACTCTGAGAAACTCATAGAATATTTTCATGGTTAAACTCGTCGAAGGATGGTCGAAGGATGGTCGAAAGGGTAACTCTTCGAAGAAGAAGAGGAAAAGGTGTATTAGAAGGAACCCTTCGGGTTCGAACGAACCTTTTTATCGGTCCTAGGGTACCATTTTTTCCGAGATTAATATGGTACCTTTTTTTAATTTGGTATATAGGTAAGTAAGTATGTAATTCATTCGTAAGTGAGTAACGCTAATGGGGAATGCATAGGAAAAAGGGTGACTGGTAATTTTCTTCTTCTTTTTTTTCCTCTCTCTCTCTCTCTCTTTCTCGTCGGGAACGTTTCCAACCCCCTATGGCATTTAACGAGCAATCCAAACGAGCTTTCGATTCGACAAATACGATTTCTATGATAGACTCACCCCTCACCCCCTAGCCAACATCACCCCGCGCGCTCCCGTGACTAATAGACTCGTGTGAAAAATCGTATTTAGTTTTGAACTATTGTGTACTTTCATAGTTTTATCGTATTTCCTGATTTGTTGCGTTACCAGCTATATTACAAGTGTTACTTTGTTTTTTCTTTTTTCAATTTCTTTATTAATTAAATATCTTGAATTTCATCAAAGTTTATCTTCGGTTTTTCCCCTTTCTCTTATTCTCGAATAATTTCTTTACGGATAACATATTTTATTTGTCGTCGTAAAGAAAAAAAAGAAAAAGATAAATGGTATAAATATTTATGGCAAATAAATCTCTTTACTTTCTGAGCTTTTTCAAAACTCATTTCTCGATGTAAATACTGTTTGCCTCTACGATCCCTGAATGTAATCCTTAAAAAGGGGAATCGAAGACGAAAAACGGTGTCATCTCCCAAAGGGAATGAAAAACAAGAAACACGGACTACTTCTTCTTCTTCGTCTTCTTCTTCTTCTTCTTCTTCTTCTAGCAGAAAAGAGATTCTCTTCAGTTGTGTAATTTTTCGAGGACTTTAATTCTCGATCATAATATTTCATCGTAATAACTTTGGAAACAAAAGCAGAGGGGGAACCCGCAAACTCTAACCAACGTTCACATTAAAGAAAACGATTTTAAATAACTTCGAATATTCTTTTTTTAATCATAGACGACTTTTATATACGAGAAATACAAAATTTATACACTCGGTATAATAATTTGTTAAGGGTAGGGTGTGGAGGGGTGCGGGGGATGAGTTCCAATATAAAAAAGAAAATATTCGTTTAATTTGTCTTTTCATAATATTTCTGGTTTTTCTTTTTTAAGATATTTTAATCGAATTTTTTAAGATCCTTGTAAACGTTCAATAAAATATGTAATAAAATATATCGGGAGGGGGGTTATCGGATATCAGGATCGGCATATCGTAATCATCAAAACATGTCCGTAAATTCTACGTGCCGATCCATAACGTTATCGTATTAAGCTTGCGAATAAAATGCAATTATTTTATATACGCGATCGTCCTGTTTACGAACCACCCTGTGTTTCGTGAGAATCAATCAAGGGTGGCAAGCATCCATAGAAGCCGTGAAAGGTAGGGGTAGGGTGTAGGGGGAGTGGGTTTAGAAGTGTGAGGGGAAGAGGTCAGGCCAGTTTCTCTTTCACGTTCTTGCAGTTAGGGGTGGTGAAGGGAAGAAAGAGGGTCGCTTTGATATCGGAACACGCGAAAGAGATTTCTAGGATTAGTTTGGTATACCGAACGGTACGAGGATCGATCAAATCGAAGGAAAATCGTTCGAGACTTAGGTTAGGCTAACAGGGAGGTGAGGGGGAAGAGAATCATCTCATCCCTGATCGTAAATCCTTTCGTCTCTCGTGGTCTTCGATAATCGATTCAGCGATTTCAAGAGGAAATATTATAATTGAAAAGAAAAAAAAAGAAAGAAAAAACAAGTTTCAAGACATTATTTATCTGGACGATAAGTAGGTAGTTATAATATCGTATATATCGTATCATATTTTTTCTTGCTCTTTAATTGCGTGATTAAATGTTATTCGTGAAAAGAAACAATTGCGATAAGAAGAAGAAGAGGAAGAAACAACAAATCAAATTTTGTATTTATATCTCGGATACAATAAAAAAAGCCGAGAACATGCTGCGTCAACATTTCCTTCCTATTTTCATTTCTCTTCTTTTTTTGTTTCTTCTTCTTCTTCTTTCGTTAAATCATCATCATCATCATCATCATCATATTCGTTAAGACAATTGTACAAAGTCTGAATATATCGAAAGTAAAATAAATAAATAATACGTGAACGTTGGGGTTTTAATAAAAGATAGGTGGATAATATAATACACGTTCGCGAGGAAAAAAAAAACAATAATTCTCTCATCGAAATCAAAGAAATATGTTTATATCGTTTAAACGAAACACGAACAAATGATTTCAATTTAATCATTATAATGTACGATCGTTTGTTTAACAGATTCAGGTGAGAGTAGTGTGATATCTCCTGGATTACCGGAACGGTATAGTCCATTAGGAGCGACAGGATCTACATCCAGTCACGATCCTTACGCCTCGAGACCAGTACAAGAATGTCCTGTGCCACTTTGCAGAGGAATGCCGACGGATTTTCCTTTAGCGAGATCACCGTATCTTACTGCACTCGGTAACGGACATCCGCACCTTTTGAGTCAAGTACAACAACAACATCAACAACAACAGCAGCAACAACAGCAACAACAGCAGCAACAACAGCAACAACAACAGCAACAACAATCGCAACACAGTAGCAAAACACCCAGAAGTCTTGGTTTAATATGCGTTGTCTGCGGTGATACCAGTTCTGGCAAACATTATGGAATACTCGCGTGCAATGGTTGCAGCGGATTCTTCAAAAGAAGCGTCAGACGTAAACTGATATATAGGTTAGTTGTTCATTATTTGTCATATAATATTCTTTTCCAAACATATTATTATGTTAGGGATTCGTGAATTTTATAATTAATATTTTCCAAAGATTAATTTTTTAACCAAAAACAATCAATTATAATGTTACAAAGTCAAATTTAAAAGCAATCAAAAATGCATCCTAATATTGATTACAATTTCGACGATAGATTTGTTATTCAACAAATAGTTAAAACTACATGCGTTTCATTGGATTCAATTCGTAAAAGATGCGAGAGATATAAACGTCATCTCTGTTCGATAAATAGTTTACACTTTATTTAATAGAAACATTTTGTATCTGGTATATAAAATGAAAACATGTATAGATTGTGAACAGAAGAGAAGATATCATTTTGAGTATTAGGATCAGGCGGTAAAGTGGAAGTCGGTTATAGTCGTCGGTTGGCGCCATGTGGCCTCGAGTCGAGTGGGCTCATCGTAATACCGGGCAACAATGCAGAACGGCATAATGTTCTATTGAGCTCGACCAACACGAGGGCCTATCCTATCCTATCCTATCCTGTCCTAGCTAACCCGTGTGTATACGCGCGATCAAGCCAGGTTCCAAAGCTCCGCGGGCCGTTCGAGGAACTATTAGCATCCCTTGGGAACGGCGATCCATCTCCATCGAATCCCTCTCAACTCAGAATCGGTGCTCTGTCTGGCTACGTTCACGATCCTCTCTCTCTTTACGCTGGTACCCTACATCCACTGTTACTTACCCCCACTCACCCCCGACTCTTTTGCCTCGTCCTTCAGCTTAACCAGGAGTGTCATATCCTGGCCAAGGATACTCGATATATAAACTATTAACTCTCAACCCTCCTTCCACCCTCTCTTCTTCTTCTTCTTTCTCTCAAGCCMCCCCCCGCCCCGCCCCGCTAGCCACCGTTTCGTTTTTCTTTGTCATTCACATTAAGCCAAGGCTTTTACAGATGTACAAACGAATTGATCGTAATATAAATAAATAAAGAATTGATTTAAAGTGATAGATTCTCCTCATCCCCTTCCCCCAATCCGCGAATCGAAATACGTGTATCGGTAAAATATTGCGAATTCATGATAATAATAATAATAATGTACACGCGGCTTTAAAAAACATATGTCAGAACGTTCACCGATAAGAAAAGAAGAATTCGACTTCAGACGATCATAACCTTTGCCAAGTGTTTTAGCCGAAATACCGCTGTACAAATAATAATTTATCGTATTGCACCGATCGAATCGTAAAGCAAACATTTCGATCATCGAACACACATACACACACAGGGGAATAAAACAACGTGTTCTCCTTTAAACGGTCATAAGGAAAACAATTACGTTTGAATAACTCTGACACCTGTTCCAATAAAACAACAATGCATCGAAACCGGCCGGCCTTTTGACGAGTTCGAGAGAAGGCTATGATGATCACCGATGAAAGAGAGAAAGAGAGAAAAAGAGAGAAGCAAGCCGGTCGTCGATCCCTCGTTATTCTTCTTCTTCTTCTTCTTGAACAAGTACGTTTTAATCGATCCTTTTTGAGGTCATCGTAACGCCGTTCACCTTTTTTTTTTTTTTATTCTCTCCCAGTATCCGTTCCTGTCAGATGGTCGTAACGCGGTAAAGACCGAAGAGCCTTCGCACAGATAACCAATTACTCGGTAAGGGGAAAAGTGCCAGGGGTTCCCTAGTAGCTCCGGTGAGAGTACGAGAAAGAGAAAGATAGAGAGATAGAGAGAAAAATGAGAAAAAGAGAGAGAGAGAATTAGAGTTAGAGTTAGAGTTGCGACAGATGCGTCCCGACGTCGCGCCACCCAGCCAACCCAACCAGCCACGGATTAACCGTAAACCTCGACACTAGGTTGACCGGCCGATCCTATCAATTGGCGAATAAAATTAAATCGGGTATACTCGATATCCCGATAAGGATTCCAAATCTTTTAACTCGTTAACGACACAAATCACCCCTTTTTACGTGACGTATCTCGATTAGGAATGAAAGAAGAAGAAAAATCAAAGGAAAGAAATAAACTTCTTTGCTATTCGTCAGGGTGGTTATTGATGATGATTTTGTTCCTGAAGCTAAAATCTCTCTTTCTCTTTCTCTTTCTCGGGAGAGAAAAAGAATGACCGTCGGAGCACGTGCAAAGTGGAGATTCCGCTCGATCGAAGAAGTACGAGAGAAAGAAAGAAAGGAAGATAGAGAGGGTCGTTGTTGAAGAAGAGTCGGGTAAATAAATGCGTGATGTGGTTCTGAAGGGTGAATGGATAGGAAGAGGAGTCCGTTTTCTATCTCCCTTTCCATCTCTCTTTCTCTCTCTTGAGTGTCCCCCATCATGCTACTGTACCCAGTAACAACTACTACTACTACTACTACTACTACTACTATCAAAGTGTGTCCTCTCGCGAGGATGTATGAGAGAGTTCGCGCGTGTGTTCGAAACTCCGACGGGGTGTGAACGCAAATCAATTTGTGCGACGCCACCCGCTGGCACGGCACGGCACGGCACGGCACGACACGGCACGCAGCCACCCTTCTAGCTTTGGATCCGTTCTTCTTGTCGCGTTCCAACCACTGCCTCGGGTCAGGATGGTTTGGTCGACCGACCAACCGACCAACCGGATATCTCTCAAACTCCCTCCCCCTCCTCCTCCAACTCCTTTTCCGTTCCTCTTTCCTTTAGCCCGATTCTCATTTCCTTCTGACTGACATCACTTAAAATTGTCCTAACAACTACGGATAAATTGATGAAGCAAGAACCCCCGGACTCCCCTCCGACCCACCCGTTTTACTCTGCTGGTATCCTTTTGAACTTTCTTTTTTCTTTTTTTTTTGTTTTCTCGCGAGAACGAGGACAAATTATCCCCATCCTTGTGTTCTATCTGTCTTTCGTGTTAGAATCGTAATATTCAGATAGATGATCAGGATTCGATGATAAACTCGATTGGATTGGTTTCTTTTTCTTTTTGCGATTGAGAAAAAGAAAAGAATAAAGGAAAAACGACGTGGGTCCCTTCTCTGAAGAGAAGAGGAAAGAGGATAGGATAGCTCGCGAAGAAGGAAGTGCACCGGGCACGCCACCGCGGGATTGGACGAGATTAAGAGGGATAAGAAGAAGGTACGTGACCCCCGGGGTGGTCGTCGGCTCTTTACGTTACTACGCTCCAAGGGATAACCGGGTTAGCTCAACAATGAAAGTAATCGAATTTAACGCCATCTCCCGTGAGTGTACAGCTTGGATTTTCGACGAACATAGGCCCCGGTGGTAGTTTATCGTCTTGCTCTTTGCAAATAGTTAACAATCAACCATTTTTTTTTGTCCGTAAAAAAATCCTGACGACTTTACGATCATCATCATCTTCTTCTTCTTCTTCTTCTTATTCGGATCGAATAATTATTTCCGATCCAATTTGAAAATATATTTTTCTTTATTTGTCACAGATGTCAGGCTGGAACAGGAAGATGCGTCGTGGACAAGGCGCACAGGAATCAATGCCAAGCGTGTCGTTTGAAAAAATGTATGCAGATGGGAATGAACAAGGACGGTTAGTTGAACAAAAATAAGTAACCCTTTTCTTTCTTTTTTTTTATTTTTATTTTATTTTTTTTTTTTCAATTTTTAATCCCATTATTAAATTTAATAATATCGAGAATAATTCCAATCAATGTCAATCGATTTCATTTGGAAACAAAGTCGTGTTAGTCAAGGGATAGAAAGATAGAAAGTCGATCGGGTACGAGATCTGGGAGAAACCGAAACGACGACGATACCTTTTGGATAATCCGTTCTCGAATCAATCAGAGTAGTAGACGTCCCCTGTGTATCGCGATCAGGAAATTCGATGGTGGAGGGAGAAGAGGGCCCTTTATGTTCGCGACATAAATAACTGGATGAGAACGGTGAGAGGAACGCAAGGTTTCGCGAGATAGAAAGAGAAAGCTTATACCACCACCAACGGGAAACTCCTGTTAGGATAGTAAAAGATGAGAATAGACGATGGAATGAGAGGAAAAGCAGTTGGATGGGACATAAGGAGGGGGTTGAGAGGAGGGGGACGGCACACCGATGGTTCTAGAATCGTTCGATTCAACTCTTAATGCCTCTCGACGAGACACAGCAGCACCTGCTTCTCCTCTCTTTCCTCTTTCTCTCCTTTTTTGTTTCACCCCCTCCGCTCCACCCCCCCCCACCCCACCCAAACCCTCCTTCCATTCCATAGTTTTTTTCCTTCTTTTTCCCCCTAGTCAGCGTGCAACCTCGTTTCGCCGTTATCGCTAACTTTCTTATTGCCGAACTTGACGTCGGCATCGTCCTCGTTGTCGTCGTCGTCGTCGTCGTAAGATAAAATTGGATCGAATCTAGACGCACAAGTTTGTCTTATACGTCGAAATCTTTCGTCGTCGTATCTTATAAGCGAAGACGTGAAACGAACGATTGGAAAATTCACGAGCAGGTTAATCTTCTTAGATTTGGTATCGCGAATACACTCGATACCAGTGTATAAAACTTTTATCTTACTCCTAATTTGATTCGTATTTCAAAAATATATATAATCGTAAGATAAAACACAATTATTTTTTATCTGGTATCACGAAAATAAAGATAACGAATAACAGTGTTAGTGTAATAATTTATCTAAAAATATATATTATCAAATTTGGAAATCATGCATAACCGGATGCTGTAATTCCTAATAAATTTTCAAAGGGTTATAGTTATAAGAAAGACTCGATTAGAATGAACTACGAGTGTCTCGTCTAAATCCAAAGCAAAAGAGGATACAGAGTATTTAGTTGCAAAAGCAATCGGTTCCTTGCGGTTAACCACAACTACCAGGATAACAACCACTACTCTACCAGAGATAGAACGTTGAAAGCAACTCTCCGTAGCCATCGTAAACACTACACGGTCGTTAACGATGGTCGCGTGGCTTTCGAACGGCCCGAAGGGTTAATTGGAGGAAATAAACGTATGCAAGCCGAGCAACAGCGGTGTGTTAGTTCGTGCGATGTGCACGCGGAAATCTGAATCCATCCTTCGATTTTCGTCCTACAGTCAACCCAACCCAACACAGCCCAGCCCAGCCCAGCCCAACTCAACCCAGCCCAACTCAACCCAACCCAGCCAGGCAGGCAGGCAACCACCCGCTACGCGATTCCCATCCATTTGCAATTATTATACTTCTATCCTACGTGGAAGCGAGAGAAACACGAAAAAAAAGAAAAAGGAGAGAAAGAAATGCCGTAGGGTAAAGGGCGTCCGGGCAGCGTTTATCTTTTCGAATGGTGGAGGAGTAGTATAACGTTGGTTGAGAGGAAAAAAAGATGAGAGTCAGAACGGACAGAGAAAAGGGAATGGGAATGAGAGAATGAAGGACGACGAGGAAAAGGCTCAGTTAGAGACAAGAGGGACCCTATTAAGCCGCTCAGCAGGCAGGCTTGCAGGCAGGCATGCAGGCAGGCAGGCAACCAGCAACGCGACGAAAGTAAAGCGAGCCGACACGCTTTTTTATTATTACGAAATTACTGCACAACAACCGTGTGCCACGGTTAAAAAGGATGCTCTCTTCTACCCACCTTTCCCCCCCCCCTTCTCGCCCCATCCCTTTTCACTCATTCTCTCCTCAGCCTAGAGAAAAATGCTTCTACTCGAGCGTTACGCGCCACTGAGTGCCCTTATCGTGGCTCCATTAAAAGCTTTAATGCTGCTCATGTTTCATGAGAAATACTCGTTTTTCTTTCTCGTTCTTTTTTCTCTCTCTCTCTCTTTTCGCAAATCTTTTTTTAGCCAAACCTTTTCCTTCGCGTTTCGACTCTCTCTCTCTTTCTCTCTTTGCGTGTCCCTTTTTTTATTTTCTTCTTTTTTTTTCAGGGATTCTTCGTTCGTTCGTTCGTTCGGTCAGTCAGTCATTCGATCATCTTTTTTACATCGTTTTAGCAAAGTTTCGTTCTAGTTTAGCCCCTTCCTTAATTTCCTTTCGATGCTCGTTAAATTTTTACACCAAACAGAAGCTGAGTATTTTCTCTTATCCTTTTCGATCCTGTCGGGGCACTTTCTCTTTCTCTATTCGACTAACTAACGGGGATGACATCATCGTTTTCGTGACGATCGGATGCCCACGAAGATCAAAGCCTGCCTCATTTGAATATATTCGCGAAACTAGAAGAGAGAGAGAGAGAGAGAGAGTGAACGGCGTTTAAAACGACGCGAAGACAAGTAATTTGGGTGCACGAGGTGTCGCGTGTCATCCTCGGGGATTCGTTCTTCTGTGAGAAGAACACTATAACACCGCCATAATCACTACCATCTTCATTTCGTTCATTTCTTTGCTTAAACATCATCGCATTTCTATAATAAATTTCTTTTTTTAAAACCCGAAAGAGATCCGATAGATACTTCTGTTCTCACTTTTTTACTTTAATTTTCATTTGGAAAATTTCAATGGTTAATTTTGCGAATGACTATGTCGATTATGACATGATTAACGTAGCTGATAGTTTATATTAAAATAATCTCGTTAATGAGTTCCGTCGATCGGGAAAACAAACTTTGTTTCTTTTTCTTTCTTTGTCTTCTATCGAAAAAAATAATCATTTTATTGCAAAGTTGAAAGAGGTTTGATGCATTTCGTATTGACAAAATTGCTGCAAAGATAAAAGTAAATCATCCCGGCCGATTGAGTGGAATACGAGGAGAAAAAAAAAAAGCACCGTCCACATCGTCAACGTATTAATTATAATCAATTACGTAACCAAGTATTCGATAAATACGATAATAATATTTATTCGCGAAGTATTATTAACCCTTTCCATATAGAACCGTGTTGTAACTTTCAATTTGCATTATTTTCTCATTGTGAAATTTTCTAATATATTTTATAATCTTCATTTTTTAATCTAATTTTTCCTAACGATTATCAATTTAATCTCGACATATGATAATAAATTTATAGTATCATCGAAAAATACGATTTCATTAAATTCATTTCTCGATTTCTCTCTATTATATTTACATAATAATAATAATAATAATAATAATAATATTTGTTTATATAAATCAAGTTATAATTCGCAAAGTAAAAGAACAAAATCAATCGTTCGATAGACGATCCTAATAAAATTATTTAATTTCTACCGTTACGTTCTCTATTCTGTATATCTATAAATATGATTTCACTGTGTTAAGAAAAAGAATAGAGAAAAAAAGAAAAAGAACATAATAGAAATAATAGAAAAGAGAGAGAGAGAAAGAGAGTAAGTTTCTCTTAAGAGGAATATCGGGATGATGGAAAATGTGTACGAATCGATCGTCGATGAGAATTCTACCTACCATCGTTCGTTCGTTCGTTCGTTCCATAGAATGGGAGTTACCTAACAGCGAACATACCCAGGCAAACAATAACTCGGGCTGATTTCTGCGCGTCCGTTAAACTCCTCGTGCTTGTCAAACGCACGATGTTCGCATGACATAACCGTGAGTTACGTGAATTTGACGAGACGCGAACGAGAGATAGAAGTGAGGGATAGATATATAGAAAGAGAAAGAGAGAGAGAGACGGTTAGTGAGGGGGTCAGGGGGGGAAAGAGGGGTTGGCCGTAGAAGGCGGAACGCGTTTGTTCCCTGATTAATCTGCCGAGAACCATCGAAGCGAAATCATCGTAATATTTCAATTACCTCTGACAACGAAATCGCCACCCACCGTGCATCAAAATCAAAGTCACGTCCGAATTGACGAAATAAAAAAAAAAGATAATAGAAACATACGCGAGACATAATATAAAAACGGATAGATAATAAAAAAAAAGATAATAGATAATATTTTGTATATTACAGCCGTTCAGAATGAAAGACAGCCTAGAAATACTGCAACTATTAGACCGGAAGCACTCGTTGAAATGGATCAAGAACGAGCACTTCGGGAGGCAGCTGTTGCCGTTGGTGTGTTCGGGTAAGTAATTCTCGGCTTTTTTTTTCTTTTTAGAAGAAGAAAAAAAAAAAATCACATCTAATATTCTATTTGTAATCTTTACCGTTTCTATACGATTTCTCGAGGAAGAGGAGTAACACATATGCACACACATATATATATATACATATACATAGGTGGGAAAGCTTAACCACAGTATCATAACACCGTTTATTAACGTGACGCAAACGAGGTCTTCTTCCTTCTCTCGTTTAAAGGCTTCGAGAACGCGTAAAAGCGAGGACACGAAGGTGATCGATAATCGACGATACATCGAATGAGAGAGAGAGAGTGAGAGAGAGGAAGAAAGAGAGGAGGCACACACCGGACGACGTTGCTGGAACGTTTGATCTTGTGCTGCGCAACGACTTACCTTTCACCATTCACGTTGCGAACAAGATCGCTCGCGACACGCCACGCCGAGCGTGATCTATCATGAAAAATTACCTTTGACCGTTAGCCCGTGCATAGGTAACGTTTTTCAAGTAACCGACGACCCAGGCCGGAAGTAATGGAAAATCCATAGAGTGCCAAGGGGTGAACGTTAAAAGCGATAAACGACGACGACGACGACGACGACGACGACGACGACGACGATGACGATGACGACGATGACGATGACGATGATGACGATGACTACAACGATCGGCTAGCATTTTCTCTCTCATTCTTTTCTTCTTTTCTTTAAATAAGTATAAACGTTAATGAATGAGAGTTACCTCACATTGGAAATAATCCATAAACGATTATCTATATTTCATGTACAATCACAGAAGGTTTTTTTATGAAAAAAAAACGTGTGCTAATATAAACGCGATCTCTTAATCTTAAAGTTTGTTTCTTCATCTTCATCTTCTTCAGTTTGCTATATATAAATATTTTTATATAAATTCTTTTTTTATATTTCCGATCGTGTCAACCGATCGAAAAGTTTCCTTCGACTTCGCCGTTAACGAAACGAAAGAATATATCTTTTGCCCTTTCCACGGAAGACATGTTACGTTTATCGCCAGCATCTAAACGACCATGTACCAAACCTTTCAACGATGAACCTACCACCACCACGTCAGGATTGTCACCGATATTTGTTTCAACTCTTACGGGTGATAACGGTAAAGGTTGTTGTTGCTGTTGCTGTTGTTTCCTTCTTACATCTCCCTCGGATTTCACGAGCTTTTTCTTATCGAATCTGTTTAAAATCAAAGACACGATTTGATTATACGCGTGTGTGTGTTTTCGTTTTTCTTTGAAGAAAATTTAGAATAGGATAGAAACAAACCTAGAAGATTCAACGATAATTTCTTTATCTTTCTCGATCGTTTCCTCTTTTCCTTCGTTGTCTTCTTCTTCTTCCCGTTCATCGTCCGGGATATCAACGACGTATCCACGTCCTAAATTCTCAGATTTGGTTTTTCTAACGATAGAATCAATACGACGTTTAACATCTTTGCCAATCGTAAGATTTTCTTCCAAATGTTTCCTATCAAATCTCGAATTTCTGGTCAAACTTTCCAACAATTCGACCAATCTATCGAAAGAAGCGCAAATGTCGTTCAACGAGCGTTGACTGACCAATAGGAAACCGTCAGTTTCTCGATCCTTTTCTCTCAAAATATTTTCCAAATCTGCCAAATCCGTACTCATGGCTCTCAATTTGGTCTCGGCGATCTCGCGTTTAGCTCTTTCCCGTGCCACCAAAAGATCTTGACGTTTGTTTTCCTCTAATAAATGATCGTTAGTGGTTCTCGCTAACATAAGTTCTCTCGTCATTATTAGAATCTGTTCCCTATCCTCGTTAATCTTTTCCAATTTATTTCTCGAAGAAAATCTAACGTTTGATTCGCTCGTGTCCAAAGAATTCGTCGTCGTCGTCATCTCAACGTTAGTTGGTTTTATTCGAGATTGTAAATCCAAATGCAACGATGGTTTAACGAATCGTCCTTGGACTTTATTTAATTCGCAAGCTTGCGTATTATCTTTTCGCGTTTTCATCGTCGATGGGGTTAAAACTTTCGTTTTTTTACCAATCGCATTATTATTTTCGCGTATACGATTTGTTTTTTTCTTATCGTAAGCGCCATTGTTGATCATCTCGTTTTCCTTGTTGTTATTACTCTTGTTAGATTTGTTTTTTAGAAAATTCATCGAAGATAATTTGCAATCCCTACGTGATGAATTCAACCAATCGTATTCTCCGTGTCGTTCTTTACCGTCCAATCGTTGTAATATCAATTCTATCAGATTATCGTTCATGTTAGAATTCTGTCGTATATCGAGAACGGTCAAAGAAGAATTTTGTTCCAATAATTCAAGTAGATCGTCGCCTATTTGATCGGTTAAACCACAATGCCGAAGATCAAGAGCTTTCAACCAGAGACTATCTCTGATAACTTCGATCATCTTCAATACGACGGAATCACCCAACCGAGGATTATCGCTTAAAGTCAATCGTCGCAGACCGGGCATAGCTTCGATATTTGGTTGACGATATCTCAGAGATTGTTTCCAAGTTTCATGATATAACGATAACTCTTGCCTTGATAAGGTACTGGCTAGAACCGTGCCGCATCTTACGTTGAATTTTAATTCGAATTAATACATAATATATCATATCGAGTTAGGATAATCAATTTGTGAGGGGAAAACATAGAAACGAATGTAATAATAATAATAATAATAACAGTTCAATATATAAGCCCGATAAAGAATTCAAAACCCGAAACGATATTTATAAAAAGGAAGATATTACATATATATTTATATATATAAAAACTAACGTAATCAATTGAATCGACCTACGCGGATGAGATAGATGATGGTCTCAAGTCTTGTCTAACCTGGACGTAAGATCGCAATCGCTCAAATTCAACGATCTGATCGTCCGTACGTCGGTTATTGCACGACAGACCAGTTCGCAGCCAGCATCACCGATGTAACAACGCTGAAAGGAAAGATGTTCTAGGGTTTCCGTGCCAGCCAAACCGACGCACAAGACAGCCAAACAGTCCGTCGGAAAGGGTATACCCTCTAGTTCCAGATGAGTCAAACTCAACGAATTCCTAACGCATTGTCCGATACTATGGGAGAGCCATTCCAAAATACATTGAGTTAATACCCCAGGACCTTTTTTTGATCGATTTTTCTCTTCCAAACTTATCCTCCCACCACCACTTTCCGATGGTTTTCGATATTGATATCGACTACGTATACTGATCGATCTATAATAAAAGGAAATACAAATCCAAAAGAAAATAATTCCGTTCGATTCGATTATTGACCTAAGCGTGTTGTTTTATTTGCTATTCGTATAAACTTGATTAATGGAAAATGGATAAAAACCTTAAGGTACGATCGAGCGATAAAGAATTAAGTATCGGTCTCCAATCTTCCATTTTAATGCGATCGGTTGTAAAATCCAAGCTGTAGGGTAAAGTCACGCAGATAACCGGTAACGGTCTCAGGTGATACCTCTTACAAAGTTCCATGTAACAAGCGGTGAAATTTTTCCCAGTTGGTATTGTCGTATCTTTCGTAGTTACAATAGTTGAAGACATTTCATTATTTTTGCGTCTACGACGTGATGCAGTTTCTTCTCTTGTTGACCGCGGCGACGAAGCCAATAAAGTTCCACTCATTTCAACCATTTCCTTTTCTTTTTATTTTCTCTTCTAACAGATTATTCTTTAACGACAAGAGTACAATCGTCGTTTTCTATAAATTTATAATTGAGTATCTAAAATATATCTTCGGTTATCCTAAAATCATTTCAATATTCCTATGAAATTATTCTCTTCATCTCAATCTCGCGTTTGTTTAATCAATGATTTTTTTTTCAATAAGAAATCGATCGTAGGGTTAACTTTTCTGTCAAAAGACATGAAATAAATATTATCTATAAATTGTGTTTCTTCTCGAAGTTATATTAAATTTTCAATATTTTTATATCATTTATATGAAAAAAAGAGAAAAGATTAATTTAACGAATGTGGCAAAATAATAATTACACGAAATAAATCTGACGAAACATAATAATCTTATCGTATTATCGTGAGATATTAATGTTATAACGTTGTAATAATAATAATATTCGAATAAAATGTATTCAAATGAAAGAAATAATTTTCACTAACCTCGGTTATGAATTATCGAGACTTCAACCGTAGACCACCACCCATTCACCGATCCGACGGTCATCAACGTCATCCGTATCATAAGCTTCGAAATTAGTCCACCGAAGTATCTGAACGTGAACGTGTGTTGTGTGTGAAATAAAATAAATAAGAAATTAAAAGGGAACAAAAAAAGAAAAAGAGGAATATATCGTTCGCAATTAAATAATACCAAAGGGGAAATAGAAAAAGAAAGAAACGAAAGAGAAAAGAAAAAAAAAAGAAAAGCTCGCGAATTCTATGCTGTTCTCGAGCTTGACGACTTACCACCAACACCACCACCACCACCACCACCGAGACGAAATAATAATGATGATGATGATGATGATGGGGAAGATCTGACGTATGGTGTCGGACCACCACCACCATCACACAGTACGCAAACAAAATTCGTCACAATTTTTTTGTAGCAACGTGAAATTGTCGAGATTGTTCTCCTCCCCTCCCCCCGCCCCACTCTCTCTCTATATCTATATTTATATATTCCTTTCCCCCCGCTTTTAATAGAGTGAAAACGCGAAGAAAAGATCAAAATTTTCTTTAACCAATAGCAACGAATGAAAATATAAATCGCGTTCGATATGTTTTTTTGTTATCTGTTCTAGACCACCGGTGTCTTTGGCAATGGCGAGATACACGACACCCTTACCGTTACCCTCGATCGCACCCACGACGAATTCAACCACCACTGCTACTCCTCCCAGACAGGAAACCGAAGATGGTAAGCTTTCGAGAACACACGATCAAAACTTTTCTAATTGTTATATAAAACTAAAGTATGTGTGTGTGATATTATCCTATAAATCGATATATGGATAGATATATATTAAGGGATGAAGCAAAAGTTCGTGAGTTTATTATTCGTGTTGTTTCGGATAGTACAATTTGTTGAAATCAATAAAATAAATTATTATGTTGTGCGAGTAGAATATTAATTAAAAAACAACGCGCGAACAATTGATTCAAGTTAATAATAGATCAGTTAGGAAATGTTGAAAGTAATGAAATTGGACAATAATTGGGCTATAGGTAACGCGTCAGAGGACAGCATAGACGTGACGAACGAGGAACCATTGACACCTCAGAGAAGTGGATGCACGCAACTTCCACCAGTCATACCATCCCTTTATTCACCTGCCAGTGCCGAAACTGTCTACGAAACGAGCGCGAGATTACTCTTCATGGCTGTTAAATGGGCGAAGAATCTTCCTTCGTTCGCAAGTTTACCCTTCAGAGATCAGGTACAGCCCTAGTTAGTGTACAGTCGTGATAAACAAATTTCAAATACAAAATAAAATGAAATATTAGATTCTCGGTGTTAATTAATCTCGACGTGGGATTAACAAAGTGGATTTACTTTATTTATCACAACGTTTGTCTCTCGTGCAATCACGCGATTCGTTCAGGTGATCCTATTGGAAGAAGCCTGGTCAGAACTATTCTTACTAAATGCAGTCCAATGGTGTCTACCTCTGGAATCCTCGCCTCTCTTCAGTGCACCAGAATTGACGGCGTTGACACTTTCGCCCCATCAGCATCCACATTCGGGTCTTCATCTGCAAAACAGCACTGGTAAACCAAGCCAAGTTGCTGCCGATGTTAGACACCTTCACGATACTTTGCAAAGGTACAAGGCTGTCATGGTAGATCCTGCCGAATTTGCATGCATGAAGGCCATCGTACTTTTTCGACCAGGTAACCAAACGCCTATAATCATTTTAATAATAATTCGCGTTAATTTTAAATGAATTTAAACAAAAATAGTTGTTGTATCAGATTTTTACGAAAACGATGTTGCAACAATTCGAATAGTTAAGTTTCCAAATGAGTCGTTTGTTTTCTTTTTTCTTTTGTATCTATTTGTAGAAACGCGCGGATTGAAGGATTCTAGTCAAATTGAAAATCTTCAAGATCAGGCACAGGTGATGTTAGGGCAACACGCGAGAGCCCAACAGCCAGGAAGTCCGGCACGTTTTGGGAGGTTGTTGTTGCTTCTACCGTTACTCAGAGCCGTACCTGCAGCAAGAGTAGAATTAATATATTTTCACAGAACCATTGGTAATACGCCGATGGAGAAAGTGCTTTGCGATATGTATAAGAATTAAAAGAAACCCTAAACACCGAACGTTTAAAACGTTAGATAAACTAAAAGTATCCAACAACTTTCTCGCTTTCTTTTACAAAGAAAACAAAGTTACGGAAACAAAATGAAGGAAGGAAGGAAGGAAGGAAATGGCCTAAAAGAAAGGGGGCAAGAATTCCATGAGAATTCGTAATAAGAAATAAACTTATGGCAGCATCTTGCTTGTGTTGAAATTACGAAAGAGAAACGGCATCTAAAAAGAAAAAGAAGGAGAAAGGAAAAAAAAATAATGTGTGAATGGAATATATAAAACAAGAAGAAATCTAGAAGAAGTGTTATTGTGATTATCACAATATGAGTGTGTATAAAAATACGTGTATTTATTTATTATAGAAAATGTTTATTGAACCATAGGTTCGATTTGTCGAATGGATTATCATTTACGAGGAGAGATCATTCATTCACGCATTCTCATGCACCTCATACAGGCAGACACCCATAAAACATATACGCACATATATCACGTATATTGTTGTCTCCTACGGTAAGGATAAAGAGAAAGAAAGAAGACACAGTGATCTGAACTTTTGTCTTCTCGTTAAGAGTTCATTAATTTTTATTCTAATATCTCTTGAACATTTTTTATATTTTTTTCTTTTTTATTTTTTAAACGGTAATCATTTGTTTATATTCGTCTAACAAGAGACACGAAAAAACGAGGGAAGATTCACGAGGCTTCCAATCAGAAGCACGACTTACATATTACACATTCAAATACTTTAACATACCTCGCTACGAATGTCCAAAAATAGATATATAGTAATTAAAACTTCGATGATGTAAAGATTGAAAAAAAAAAAAATAAGGAAAAAAAAAAATAAGAATGAAACAGACGTATGTTCAGCCGTGCTTCAATTCTTTATACTTCGTGTTGTGATACTGTTCATTGTAAAAGTGTACGTAAACTCGATCGATGCATAACGATGTAACGATGATAACGTCTCATTACTTGTAATAAAAAGGAAACGCGATGAAAACAAATCCTATAATAATAAATTTTTCATTATTTCATAAGGCACGTTTTGTTACGACTGATGAAATTGGAAATATATGGAAATGGGGGTAAGTACCGTATCGATTTTTTACAAAATAAAATTACATATGTGAATAGTTATCTAAAAGAAATGAATTCGTTTATATAGGATCGTTATATTACATGGTGTTCCATACCTGGGAATTTTGCAAATATATTTTTCTCCAAAGCACACACACGCACAAAAGCTTTATACGAATAAATTTTATTCTACATTTTCATTACGTCCTGCTCGTTTGTACAATCAATTACAGGACACCATATATATATATATAAAAAATACGTCAAAATTGGTAATGAATATTTTTCCTCGAATTAGAGATACAATAATAATAATAATAATAATAATAATAAAACAATTAATACGAAGTATTGTAATTGAAGGAAAAAATTGAATAATATTACATTAACGTGATTAGAATGTAACGACGTGGTGAAATAAATATGAACGCAAGATTTGTTTGATACATCCAATAATATAAAGACCGTATAATAATCGTTTGACGATCGACAAATTCTGATTAAATCGATGGAATATATTACGAGGGTTATATTATATTTCTATTGGAATTTTAGCGATTGTATTTTTCTCTTGTATGTGAATCTGAAGGGTGAGAGTTCGAAAAGGGAGAAAAAGAGATCCGAAAGGGAACCCCGTAAGGGAACACAAAAGCAAACCAAGACGTCGCGAAGGTTGTGTGGTGACTCGCGCGTGATTACGCCCCCACATAAACGTTGCCTTTCGTTGCATAAAAGTACATATTTATTTATCACCGTGTAATCCCTGACTTCCCCCTTGACGGGGGTGGGTTTGCCACATGGCAGTTTGACGATCCCCGCTGGAATTACCCTTCGCTTGCTTATAAATTACGTCTGGCTTGAGCGAGGTTTAAGGGCCTGCTTAAGTTGTCAAAGCAGTCGGGGAGTTAAACACCCTGACGCGGGGGTGTGAGCAACCGTGCTTAATGTTTTTTATATTTGAGATCAGGAACCGCCGTTCCTAAAGGTTTTCTTATGTCGGAAGACTTTTAAATACTACTCGATTTTTATTATTATTCTTTTTTTTTATTTTCTCTCTTCGATTTTTTTATTTATATATTAGATAATATTACTCTCTTTTCTCGTCGATTGATAATAAATAATTTACGCGAATTGTATAATAATTATCTACGCGTATTTATTACGTGATAATTTTGTTTCTCTACACGTATACATCGAATCGCAGAAATTTATTCGTACTCTCGTTCGTTTACAACCACCACCCCTTTCCCCGCCACTGTAAAATTGAAATAATTTATATTTCCTTGTAATACGACAAAAGCTTTCAAAATTCTTTTACGGTAAAACCTATTTTTCGAATTATTCAATTTTCAAATTGATAAATATAAATGTTCGTTGCGGAACGAACATTTTATTGTTAGAGAGAAATTTAATTTCGTTTAAAATTAATACAATATTAATAATAATTGTAAATATTAATTGTTTTTAAATTAATAGTAAAAACGATACGAATATTATTGTGGCAGACTTATCAAATATATGTAAAAATATATAAGTATTACTTATTCATATTATATATATATTTTCAATTTCAATTAGAAAAAAATGAATTTCGTAATTTTCCCTACCGAAAAGAAAAGGAAAAGAAAGAAAAAGGGGGAAACGAACCTTTCACTTCCGCGTTTGACCGTACTACGGTATAATACATACTATATATATCGGCATGCCGATAACCGACGCAACGAGGAACGAATTTCGATGAGAGGAAACGGGGGAGGGTAGTGTAGTAGTGGTGTAAGATGAAAGGGGTTTTCCGAGGGTAACTGGGACGGAAGGGCGCGTTGCTAGTATTGACTCGAGAGGAGCTTTCTGGTGCATGGGCGGAGTTTTCGAGCTATCCCTGTCTTTCTCGCTCCTTTTAAACTACAGTGGCGTCGGTGGTGGCGGTTGCCCTCTCAAATGGAAGTGGGGATGATGCTCGTTGCTGCACGAAAGGGGAAAGGAAGGAAGGAAGGGGCTCCTGCTGTTACTGCTGCTTTTCCACGCAACCCTCCCTCCCACCCTCCGTACAAAACCACCCTCCCGTTTCTTTACTCGCGACAAGCGACAAAACTTCCACCGAACCACCGGTGATCCAGCAATGGCGGTAGGACTTGTTGTATTTCGCTTTCGAGGTAAACCCCTTCCCCCCATAACCATTCCCTTTCTACCTTTTCGATCTTCATCCCTACCTTTACCTCTACGAACGATTTCCCCTCCTCACCTCTTTCCTCTTGCTACTGCTGCTGTTGGTGCTGCTGCTGCTTTGAGGGACGAGTTAGAAAGAGATAGAATGAGATCCAAGTAGTGGCTAGAGGGAGGGAAGAGGGCAGAGGAAAGGTAGGTAAAGAGAAATAAAAGAGACGGAGCTAACTCTTACTGAGGGCAACTCTTCGATGGTCGGGAGAAAAAAGGGAGGAGTATAGGAGTATAAGTAGAAGAGAACGCGAACGATGGAGAAAGATAAAACTACAGAGTGAGAGAGAGTAAAGGGAAAAGGTGGGAGACTATATCGCTCGGAAGCAGTAGCCTCCATTTATTTTATTACATTATCATACCAACTAGGCGCTCGATAAGTGGGACTTTAAAGCGAAGGTTCTCAAATCGTTTTTCTTATGGAGGTACGATTCTAAAAGCATGACTCGGTGTTTTTTTTTGCCAGATAACGTCGTCTCTATCTCTCTCTCTCTCTCGTCGTGCATCTAAACTTATTCAATTTATTTTTGATTCTTTCATATATTTATTTTCTGTTTTTTTATTGTATTTATACATTTCTTTTTTGTCTATAATTATACTCCTCGCACCCTTTTTCATACGCTTTTGTCATCTTCGACGCGTTAAAAATAATCTACGATAATAATAATAATAATAATAATAGGAATTGTTTTGTTCGAAAAGATTTGTCTTGGATAATTTTGAAAGAGGTGACGGGGAAGGAAGACACATCGAAATACGAAACGCAAGTAGATATCGGTGATATTCGAATGGAATATTAATAATATTGACAGGGAGACCTGGGAGGGAAAGGGAGGAAAAGAGAGAGAGATGGAATTCATCGAAAAACCCTTTTGGCAAACGCACTGATAAACAAGGAAATCCGATTCCCAAAACAAAAAGCATAGGCGACGTGTGTCCGTGCAAACCGTCGACCGGCGGTACCACCATTGATTATCAACTTAAATTTAAATGAAATTAAATACAAGAGGAGGAGTGTGTAGTACGTTTATACCGAGCTGTTTTACAATTTCGTTGGTATTAACTATTTTGGTTGGGCCACGGTACCGTAATTCAATTGGAAATAAATATGAAATAGGAGAGACGCGCGATTAATTGAATCACCCAGCCAATGATATTGGATATTATTTTATTGAAATAGAACTGCCGATGTAAATTGTCGATCGAATAATCTCTACATCTTTTTCTTTTTCCCTCTCTCTCTTCCTCTTTTTTTCTCTGTTTTTTTTTTTTAACCATTCTCGTGTTAATCTCAAAACTTTTCGGCCCATACCCCACACCCCCTTTGTACACGTTTTTTACAATTTTTTTTTCTCTTGAATTAAATTGTAAACAATTTTATTTTTTTTTGTCCATGTGAAACAAATTGGTATATAAAAATACGTAGGAAATTTGTTCTTCCTTAGTTTTCTTCGAAACGGTTAAGTATTGGGTCTTACTACTGACACGATGTATGAATCCCTTCGACTGTATAAAATTGAACGAAAATTGATATCCTGTCAACTTGAGTCACCTTTTTTTCAGTTAAAAAATATTGACAAACATATAAACGTTAGGATTTATATATTTTATATATTGAAATTGTTTATATTATAAAAAGAAATCATAAAAATATATGAACACATGAATTTCCTATTATGTGTTTTTATATAAACGTTTCTCTCAATAAATTTTGATACAGTTAACGGTTAAAGTTCTTTTCACGATAGAGTATAAGGGATCAGATTGAAGAAAATCCTTGGAAATTTTTCATTCGACCTCTTCCACGATCTACGAAATACGACCGTTTGAATGACGTCCAAAAGAAAAGAAAAGAAAAGAATATATCAAGACTTTCTGGTCACGTATAACCTAAGGATTATTCGAGATCTCGCTTTCGAAATCGAATGGAGCCTACTTCATTTCCCAACTGATATGTACATATCATTTTTATGTTCTCAATTGAAAGAAATAAAATATTAATATCTTTTTCTGTAATTTTTTTATTTCATATAAATATTCGAACCAATGTTTTTTTAATAACATGTTTCACTCTTCTTCTTTTCAATTTATTCGTATTTCGCGTTTCTAAAAAGTAAACAGACGTTTAAATAAAAGAAAAAAGAACATATATATATAAAATTTCTATTTCGATGGTAGAGGTACCAATGATATAAGATTTGTCTAACGTATTCATTTGTGTGTGTACAAATAATGATAGGAATTTTGTTTTTCTTTAATTAAAAAAATAAAAAAGAATGATACTCATTATAATATTTTTCAAAAGACGCATGAAAAGTTGTTGAAAGGATGAAGAGAAGATATCGGAGAAAAAGTTTCTAACGCGGAGTAGAAAATAAAGCTAGGATGGTCAGGAGAAGCTATTGGGCTACCTTTATCCCCTTACTTTTCCTCGCTTGTTGCCTCTCATTCTCCCTCTTCCCAAAAATCAATAACTACGCTGACGGTCACCGTGTGATAGACATTATATATATATATAACGTAACTATCAAATAATTATATCAAGATTATCAATCGAGAGTACAAAAATAACATTTTCTAAAAATATTATTATTATAATTTTAAGTATATACACTGTTCGTGTTAACAACGTGTATACATTTTCTATATATATACGTATATAGATATATGTTTTATTATTTTATATTATGTTATTTTATCGAGCATACGATAATAACGTAATTAATTGAATAAAATTATTCACACGAAATAATGATATAATTATTATCTCTTTATGATTAAAGAAATGTTATTTGATTTTACAAAAGAGTATTATTTGATATATATTGGCTATTTTCCAATTATATATGAAGTATCTTAATTATATTATCTACGAATGGATTTTTTTTTTCAAGCAACCCAATCACGGAAACGTATACTTCCGCGGGACGAACTCAATTTCGAGTTAAACAAGGAGCATCTTTACATAATTTACCGTTGCGTAAAATCCAACGTCAAAGGGACTAGAGCTTTTTAAGGGTCCTGTTCCTTCTTAAAGGTTTCGATATATGCCTCGACTTTCAAAGAGAAAATTGCTTCGACGCGAAAAGGGGGAGCATCCCTTGCAATGATTTTCCTTCAAGGAGTTTTATCCTTAAGAAAATCTGTAAACATCTTAGACGCGAATTTTCATTATCAAGGTATTAGAAATACCTCTCTATTATTTATACATTTAAAATAATTATTAAGTAATTGTCAAATTATTATAGGATCAATTATTTAATCTATTATTTAATTATTTTCTTTAAATTGATCTCTTCAATATGTGTATCTTTTAAATATTTTATAAACATTTAATAATTAATAATTATTTTGTGAAATATATTTATATATAAATACATATATATATATATCATAGTTTTTTAGGAACATAGGACTGAAATAATGCATACATGCTAAAATGCAACTTTGTTAGCTTTCATCACTTATATGACGCATTTCCGGGTATAAATAAATATTCTTATTTTGAACTATTGAACCTATTCCCGCTCTATGTAAAATCATTTCCAATACACCTTGTATACAAACATATATACACGTGTATATATATATATGAACGAACATATACCATAATATAATAAAATAAATCTTCGTTGAGGTGCTGCTATCTAACAGAACTTTTTATGAGTAACGATTATCGACTGCGAATTAGCATTTACTAAAAATCTGTCGATAAAGAAAATTCAAATATCTATAATTTACTTATTTTTGTTTATAAATATTTAAAGACAAATATTTTTTTCAAAAAGTTTGACAAATGTTTTTTTATTTCAGAAATGTATAAACTTAGTCAAATATAATTTAAGTGTAAATTTAATGAACGAATACTTATATCAATATATTATTATTAATTAATATTAATTTTAAAGACTCTGTCTTTATAAATTTTGTTCTCGAGACAATATATTAAAGATTATAAAAAATGTAATAAAAATATAGTTATTTTGTAAAAAGCATTATCGTACATGCTATGCTGACATTGCACATCGAAATCCAAGATTTCCAGCAGATGTATCAGGCGTATTTTGACTACGTGCAGCGCATCTGTACCGATAACAATACATTTTATGACATAAGTATGATCCACCTTTTTTTACTTTGTCTGAACCACTCGGTGGTCCTTTCTAAAATATTTAACATTAGAAAACGTTTATTTAAAAAATAAGTTAAATACAGATCAAGTTTATTTGATTGGAATTATTACTTACAGGATTTGTTTGTTGATCACTCGAATGCTTTGTGAACCACCAGTCTGATGTCCATTCCCAAACGTTGCCAACCATATTATGTAATCCATATGAATTTGGTAGAAATTCTGTAATTGGAGCAGTACCGACGAATCCATCCTCTTTTGTATTATTGTATGGAAATTCTCCCTGCCAAATATTTGCTCTAGAAAAAAAAAGTAAATATTAATTATTCTTCCCTGCATGTAACTAATTTATATATTATTTTTGTATAAATGTAGTTTGATACCTGAACTGTTCTTTGGGAGTTAATTTATTTCCCCATGGAAATAATTTGTCAGATAATCCTCCTCTACATGCGACTTCCCATTCTGCTTCTGTTGGTAATCTTTTATCTAACCAATTGCAATATGCGAATGCATCATTCCAAGAAACATGTATAACTGGATGATCCATCCTGTCTAAATAATAGTAATTAAAATATTTTAATCATAAATGATAAAAATTGTATTATTATGTAGTAGGATTCTAAATATAAAAAAGCAACTATAATTTATATTTCTACCATAACAATTACAGCTAGATAAACTTACGTTTTATAGTTGATTGAGAACCTTCAGGATGTTGCCATGTAGCTCCCTTCACATGTAGCCACCATGGTGCTTGCGCAACTACCTGTTTTATTTCTTTCTTAACATTTTCTTCTAAAAGACCTTCAAATACAAATGAATCTCCAAATTGTTCCGCTTCTGTTTTATATCCGGTTAATTTGACAAACTCAGAAAAATCCTTATTGCTTACTTCAAATTGATCTATGTAGAAACTATCCAAGACAACTTCTCTTTTTGGTCCTTCGCCATCGGCTACAAAAACTGGATTGTTGGTTCCTATTGAAAATGTACCACCTTTTACTTTAGCCATATTTTTAATATTTGGTTTTTCTTTATTGTCCTTTTTCTTCACTTTCTGAATATTGTTCACCGAACATTGTTCTTCTCCATTCATAGTATAATGTGATTGTCTATTAATTTGGCTTCCACAGTGATTATTTTCTTCGGTAGAAAGATCAATTATAAACAATAAAAATAATATGGCCCATAACTGGGCATGCCAAAAATTCGACATATTCAATATCGTAAATGAATAAATTCTGATTTAACTTTGAAAACCATAGAAAATAAGAATAGTTGCATATTTGCTTTTAAAGATAATTTAATTAGAACATCTGTGTCAAGAACATTTTTATGTCAATTGTCACTTCAAATGATTTAATGCCACACTCACATTTAATATATTAGTTTTTTGAAATATTTACTTTCGTTGAATTAAAAAGAAAAGTTTCCTATTTAATATTAAAATTATTGAATTTAATTATATTTGCAGATATTTATCAAATACAATCTATGCACGTGACGATGAAATTTGAGGTTAACATTATTATCGATAAAACACGAAATCATTTTAATTGCAAGATTTGAATGTAGATAGCGCTGCATAGAATCACAGTTTACCTTATCGACACACCTACACATACTTAGTAAATGGCAATCAGTGATAATATGAGGTGGATATAACCTATCACTAAATGCCACGTATATTTACGTGTCATGCTTAAAAACTTAAATTTTCCTCGAGAAAAGTATTTCCTTTGGGATGGATAGTTAATAGTATTTTACTATTTTAAATTTATTCAATAATAAACAGTGAAATATATATTGAAATATATACTGTGACAATAGATGATTATTAATCGTGCGAGATGTCGAACAGTAAACATTCCAAATTATTTATTTGTGCCACCGGTATATTTATATGTTACTTTTACTTTGGCATGTTACAAGAGAAGATAACGAGAAGTCAATATGGTGATGAAAAAAATAAAGAAAAATTTACGTATATGTTTGCTCTCGTTTTCACACAATGTTTGGTCAATTATACGTTCGCCAAGATGATATTATTAACAGTTATGAAACAGGGTGAAGATACAACACCTACGTTATATTATGCTATTTCTTCTCTGACATATCTACTTGGTATGGTTTGCAGCAATATGGCTTTACAATTTGTAAACTATCCAACTCAAGTAATAGGAAAAGCTGGAAAACCTATACCCGTTATGGTACTTGGTGTATTACTAGGCAACAAGGTGAATTAGATTATCTTTTTGTTTGAATATAACTTTGTTTTTTAATGCAATTATTGACAGTAATTTAAACAATGAATTCTTTCGTTCTAGGTATATCCGATCAGAAAATATGCTTTTATATTTTTAATCGTGATTGGAGTTGCTTTATTTATGTATAAGGATGGAAGTATGTCGAGTAAACAAGTGGAAGGACAAACGTGGTTTGGCGAGTTGTTACTTTTGTTATCGTTAACAATGGATGGATTAACAAGTGCAGTACAAGAACGCATGAGAGCAGAACACAAATCTAAATCTGGACATATGATGCTTAATATGAATCAATGGTCTGTTGTATTTAGTGGCATAGTAATTCTTATCTCTGGTGAATTGTTTGAGTTCATCAAATTCTTACAACGTTATCCTTCTACCATTTGGCATATTTCAACATTTTCTTTGGCTGGAGCATGCGGACAATATTTTATATTTTTAACAGTTGCTGAATTCGGTCCATTGCCATGTTCAATAATAACAACTACTAGAAAATTTTTCACTGTTTTAGGATCTATATTAATTTTCGGTAATAGCCTTTTACCTAGACAATGGTTAAGTACATTTATAGTATTTATGGGTTTATTTTTGGATTCCATGTATGGCAAAGATAAACCGAGTAGAAAAGAAACAGTCAAGTAATCAGAATCAGTGCAAAAAAAAAGTAATCATCGTTCCTTGAGTATCTCGTTTTATTCTATTTTAGTTAAATTACTTTGATATTGAGAAATACCTATCGAATGCCTTTAATCAAAGTACATTTTCTATGCCGATGAAATCAATACTTTTTTATGTATTAGATTCACATAAAATTAACTACACAGAGAATGTATCTGTAAAATATGTTTAGAAGACTTTATTATAAAAATACTATATATATATAGAATAATTGAAGCGTCAATCAAGTAGGCACAAATGCTAGATTATATAAAAATCTTCCAAATGTATACACTTTTTATTTAGATTCTATTATATTTATTTAAAAACAAAAAATGGAAAACTAAAAAAGTTATAATTTGTAATTAAAGATATATCTGTTTTTCGTTGGTACGTACGTACTCTTGAATATTGATAATAATTCTCTATTGTTATATTTATTTTATATACTTGGTGTTTTCTATGCATAAATACTTATTATTTATGTAAAATATTATGCATTTTATATCAGGTATAATTATTTATCTGCTCTCTGATATTTTCTCTCTTCCTTTGATATCTTCCCGACTTGGTCTCAATTAAAAAACAGACTAAAATACAAAAGCTATGTAATGTATTTCAAAATGATTCAAATGAAATATCCTAGCTACAACATATATAATCTATAGTTATATTTTTTGTACCACATTAGTCTTATCAAATCCTTTTCCTTTTGCTAAAATATAATCACATGTCCTTTGTTGTAAATTAGATTTTTCCTAAATAATTTCAAAAAGAATATCAAAAAGTTCTAACACGAATACTTCATATCGTTTAAAACAAATTATTAAATTAACGCGTGACACGATTACATGATGTTGATGTATACAAATGATATATTCGTATTTATTTAAATGTAGATATTATACATTGGCAATCTTCGATAATATAAAACGATCTATCTTTTCCATTTGATTTAGTTAATTACGTGTAAACGATGTCGATACTGAATTTAAAGATTCCTTCGCGGTGGAATTTCCGAGCGCCAATCGACCGATTAAATTCCAAGTCACAATTATTTATTTCTTTTTTTTTTATCTACCTACGTAAAAATCAAGAAATACATATATATATATATATATATATATATATAAATTTATAATCGAGAATCGTTATATTTATTTAAAATCCAAATTGATTGAGAAATCGCGAATGAATATCAAGATTTTGTTAGATTAAAGATATACGAGAATGGGGGGTGGAGTTTGAGATAAATCTTGGGGAAAGTAATAAATATGTATATATATATATATATATATATATACTTAAGTAGGTAAAGTTGACGAAGTAGAATAATCTATTCGGATCTTTCAGAATGTTTAAAACACATACGAGATAATCGATAATCAAAGTTATCTACACGTAGAAGACTTTAGTACAGTACGTGTATTTTATTTTGCAATGACACAACACGTAAGATAAAATTGTGCACGTATACAAGTTAATAGTAAAGAAGGAGGATGAGGTGCGGGGCGGGTGGAGGGAGTGGGAGGGAGAGGGGGAGGTTTAAGAGGGAGAGTCGTAATCAGTTAAGTCTATCATAAATGCTGAAGTCGCTGCAAAAGAAGCAGTTTGTCGTAGGTAGTCGCTTTGGTGGTAGTCATCGTATTTTTTAACGTCGGTGTCCATTATCATTATCCATATTATACAACCAAAGGATTCGTGTGTGTGTCAAATCGTAACATATATTTTTTTAAGGATTAAATAATAAATATTACATTAGATAGTTATGAACACCGGCCTGAGATTTATCATAACTTGCATCGTATCTTTAACCACGTGCTTGCATTTCGTGCAAGCGCAAAGTATTGACAATGGTGGTGAGTTTTAAACTGTCGAGATCTATGATATTCGACTGATGAGTTGTTTTACTTTTTTATCTATCTGTTCGTCTTAAGAGAACATCGATTCAAACTAATAAAGAAAAAAAAATATATTATATATATGCATAATATGTTAATTGTAATTATAATAATATTATATTATTTTTTTGTAATAAAATAATAACAATGATGAATAATTTTAATTAGATTTTATCGTTCGAGTTTTGACGGATTGAGAAAATAAAAAGAAAAAAATGTTCTATATAAAACACAATTATATATATATATATATATAAATATTGAACGAGAATTATCATCGATCATTCGAAGGACGGATATCATCCCTGCAGCAGATGAAAATACTCGATATAGAGTAATCATTATTATCATTTAACATTGAAATTTTGTAGTTTCGGTAAACGTTGATATATCGCGTAGGAAAATCCAATTGCAAGATAATGTTTTTCCTGTCATTAAGGAAAAAAGATATCGATTACTGTTTACAAATATTTTTTAACGTATTAAAAATAATATTCGTTCGTGTGAAGTATTATACCAATTTTAAGAAATAATTTGTCTCTTTTCTTTTCTTAAATTGGTAAGGATAATTTTAGATTCGAGACGCACTTATTATTAACATTATACCTGTATGTATGTGGATGAATAGTTTCGAGAAACAAAAGAAGACATTGGTGATTTTCGATCATTATTATTATTATTTTTGTCTGTAACGTATATGGGAAATAAAGGATTATTTCAAAAAATGGAAAATTGAATAAACTTAAAGTTTATTCGGACGATGAATTTTTCCGCGTTGCGTCAGGTTGCAGGGTGTTGTATTTGTATACGTATTTCCGTGTTTGTTTATGCGAATCATAATAGATCGATGCATTATTCAGATATGGCAAATAGTTTAACTTGGCAATGTTTTCGATTTAAACGGATGATTAGTTAGTTATACCAGATTTTTACTCTGTCATTTATTTCGCATAAAAAAAAAGTAATACGATAATTGCATTCCAAGAAATTTAAATAAATACATTTAAACGTAAAAAGAAAACATTTTCGTTATCACGTTAACCACAATAATAATAACAATAATAATAAACCCATTGAGCAGAAAGTATTTTCTTAGAAATTACGATCTTACGTTAAGATACTTTGTGTTCAAACACAAATAAAATAATGATAAATGATGTAAAATATTTCAACGAAAATGCATCCATACACATATATTTATATTTATAATGATGACATATATATATATATAAAACCGCATAATCCATTGTCCCACGCGATCGTATATTCACATTTGCATCTACATGATTTAAGAGAACGTATTTTAAGAGAGATGTGCAAAAAGTATATAAATATATAATGCATACATTAAAATCATGATTCGTGAAATATTATTTAATTATTTTACTCATGGTTTTTTTAGAATCCGTGATCAATGGGATTAAGGAAAGCGAGAATTGTACACCTCGTTCGATCAATGACTTCCCAGAGGACATTTTTACGGTAGAACAACGTGCACAAGGGGCTGTTATTTTACACGCCTTCCTTGGTTTTTATTGCTTTTTACTGACGGCTTTCGTATGCAACGATTACCTTTTACCTGCACTCGATTGCATTTGTTCCGGAATAAACATATCGGCTGATGTAGCTGGAGCTACATTCCTTGCTACCGCCAGTTGTTTTCCTGAACTTTTCGTCAGTGTAGTTGGTACATTCTTAACCGAATCTGACCTTGGAGTTGGTACCGTGGTCGGTAGTGCAGTATTCAATACATTTGCTACTACTGCATGCGGTGCACTTTCAGCACGACACGTGAGTAATTTCAAATTTTATTCAACAAATTTTTGTTCTTCATATACCTATATAATTATATATATTTATATTCGTCATATATGTTATTGTAAATACGTGCACACGTGTATTTTTCCTTTTTCGTTATTTTCAATCTGACTTAATTCCGCGCCTAACAAGTTCATTTAATAATAAGAAGATAAGATTAATAGTATCGTCACAAAAAAAAAAAAAACAATTATATCTTGTGAGTCGATTGAACTTCTAAACCGGTTAGTATATATATAGACACTAATCATTATTCAACTGCCTCGATTACGTTTGTATATTGTTTAACTCCGACTATTATACTTCAATTAATATTTATGACATTATGATCGATTTTTCTTGTTAACACGTCGAAAGTAAACAAACTCAAAGATAGGATTCCCCCATTTGAAGTAGTTTTATGACGATTGGGAATTTTCATCGTAAGATCATAGTTAGGTAAATTATGTATCATTTATTAACATAAAATAATCGTAAAGGTGTGCAATTTTGATTGTATTTTTCAGAGTGTTTCTTTTCTATTTTTTCTTTTTTTCGTTCTTTTTAACTCTTCCTTTTCTTATTCGAATATTTAAAGGTCAAGCATAAAATAATACTTGAAAATGTTTATTGTTCGCGTTGTAAAATGTTAGTTACATTTTACATTACTTTGTAGATTATCTTTTATTAAATAGTTAACCTTCGTTTTTTTTGTTGTCTCATTACCATTTTCTTGAGATAAGAAGAAGGTAACGTTTATAACTTTTAAGTAACACAAAATGTATTTATGATTTATCAATGTATAAGATAATATTTGAATAGATATTGAAAACACGTAAATATGTAAGCAACGTCTATACTATATCCGCAAATATGTCCATATTGACGAGTAATTATAAAATTATAAAGCGACAGATTACATCATATAAAATATTAAAAAAAGAAACAAAAATTATATCAGTCATCTCGAATGTGTGACATTTCATTTCCATTCAATTTTTTATACCGGATTTAAAATCTTCACTTTTGACCGATTAAATCTTACGAGCATTCGTAATTAATTTCGTTCGCGATTAAATATATTAATGTTTAAAATGGAAATAGATCAAGTTTTTTTAATTGAAAGATTAAGTATTACCTTGTGACGGTCAATATTTTCTCTTTCAATGGAGTCGCCGATATCTTCTCGTACGATCGAACACACACCGCGAAGCTCTTAACTAAATATCTTCTTCATCTTTGATCGTCGTAATCTGCGACATCTAATCGAACTCGAAATTTAATCTGCGAGTGCAAAATCGCAGATAAAAGAAAAAAAAATAAGAAAAGAATAAATAACCTAGTCAAGAGCATTTATCGTCTACGTCAACCCGCGCGAGTGTTGTATTATTTAATAATATTTCAATAATTGATTCATTAAAGGAAAAAAACATAATTCAATGTTAGATGCGCATCTTCGTTATTAAAAACACAAAACTAGTTGTAATTAAGCATAGTTATAAACATGCGTAAATAAGTATGCGTACATATATATATAGTATTTTCGATTTTTATTCACTTATGTTATTTTTATAATAATAATGATGATAATGATGATGATGATGATGATGATGATAATATATAAGCCGATCATTTGACAAAATTGATTAAACAAACGAAACAAACAGTTGGAAAAAATTGATTGAGTTGCATTAGTCGTGTTGTGTCATTTATTATTCAATATGATTATCAAAATCGTTTTGTTATTTAAATAACGCGAAACTTATTTGTCAAGAAAATTAATTATAAATCTACATAGTAGAATTAATCGTTCACATATACGATAAGTCACAAGAATATTCGTACTTGTTTTCACTATAAATTTGAAATAAATATGTAAAACTTCCTAAATATAAATCTAAATAATTCAATTGATATATCACAATTTGAAAAATATAATAATTCTAATAACATATTTCTGTTTATATAAAAATTTGAAGAAAAAATATTGTATAACAAAAAAAAAATATCAATCATTTTTAAATTAATAAATATTATAAATATACGAATACTCTCTCCCCTTGTGACCAACTCGTATTTATACGCGTGTCAACTTAATATGATTTAATATATCGAATATAAAAAAAAGAAAATAGAATAGAAATCAAGGTGTAATAAAAAAGGTTTCAAACGGGAGAATATAAGAATAGGGCCAATGAGAAGGAAAACAATAGTAAAATAGAATAAAATGTTCTCTTTTCGATGTTATTTTAGTCAAAATCTCTCTTTATTGCATACGAACGGATTCGAAAGAATGTGTGGTGTCGAGTTAAAGTTTAAACGGCGCTAATGGGATAATCGATATTCCAATTATCGTAAGTAAATCTTATTTTATCATATCACTTATAATATACTACGCGTTAAAGAAGAGCCGTGTTAAGATAATAATCATTCAAGACGACGTTAACAACGACAACGCGACAATGACAACGACGACAACGACAACGATGTCAGTCGACATTGTGTGCGTGTGTTACGTTTTATTAATATTTTATTACTATTATTATTATTATTATAATTATAATTATTATTGCTCCGAGACGATAAAATTCGATAAAACGAATTCGTGACACTAAAAGTCTAACGATTCATGTCTCGGTATTATTTAACAAGATAGGACGAGGAGGAACGCACCGGTATATTAATAATATTATTTTTTTTTCTTTCTAATATTATTCAATTAGGGGAAAACCGAAACTTTCTTTTTATTTTAACCCCCACACTAAGCGCAGCCGCCAATTCTGTTTCTTTTCCTCCCCTCTTATAATTTTTTCTTTTCTTTTTCTTTTTTTTTTTTATCCTTCGTCATTATTATTTTATTTTCTTCGTCTCGGAACGATCGTTCGGTGACATACATACGTTGACGTGATATTCGTGATGCGAATTACATTTTTCTTCTTTTTTTTTTATCATCGTCGCACGAAACCATTCGTTGTATTTTTTTTTCCTCCTTCTAAAAATCCCTCTCGTCACCCATTTACCACCCACTCACATATAATCGCATTATTTTCGTCACGAAAATCACGCCGATCGAATATCACTTATGACAGATATCCGATTTTACGTATTATACATTGCTTTTAATCGTTATCGATACCTTTTCATACATCATCCCACCACCCCTTGCCCCCGTATGCATATACGCGTGTGTGTGTGTGTTTGTGTATATATATATATATGTATATTACAAGTGCAATAGATATTTATAATTTGTAACCAAATTTCACGGTTAATATGTCTCTTAATTTTTTCTTTTCTTTATTTTTGTTCTCGTATGTTTTATCGGAAATCTTCAAATAATCAGGGTATACAACTAGAATGGCAAATACTGTCGCGCGATTGCATAATCTACGTGATATCCGTTGGTTTGTTGGTATTGGTTATGTGGGACGGCCTGATCACCTGGTACGAAGCTACGATCTTCATAGTATTGTTCGTTGGTTATTTGGTCCTTCTGTTCTCCGGCGAAGGGATAACACGATGGTATAACAAGATGAAACATCTTTGTTGGAACGGTACCGAATTTACGGAAGAAAGTGGTGAGTTAGTTCATTCATCCGTTCTTTTTAAATATCGTTTGTGTTCTCTTTCGTTTTTTTTTTTTATACCTTTTTGATTATTTATTTCTTTTTTCTTTTGTTTTGTTTCTTCTTTTCCCCTATATGAAATCTGTTCTCATTTGATACGAAAGAGAAATATGGCAGGAAGAGGCCACCGAGAGGATAAAAAAATGAAATATACAAATTTGTTGTTGTTGTTGTTGTTATAGCTGCTGCCAAACCGACAACCGAACCGATGTTGCACGGCATGTACAAACCGTACGTTCATGGTGACCTAATAGCCGAGTATAGAAAAAAAAGTATCACCAAGATAGCCGAAATTAAATCGACCAATAAGAATTTCGAGGAACCACCAGAGAAGATCGAGGATTCGATCGATTATGTCGAACCCGGTAAGTTTATTATAATTTTAATATTAAATATCTTCCCGAAAAAAGAAAAGTGTTAACCTGAGTAATACTTATTTTGTAATATATTTCCTTTTTTTCTTTTTTTTTTCTTTTCAGATACGCCATTTGTATTACCCAAAGGTAATTTAATTACGAAACTATGGTTTTACTTTACCTGGCCATTAAGGATTTCATTATTTGTCACCATACCGGATACCAGGTACAAAAGATTCCGTTCGTGGTATTTCGTAACATTTTTCGTTTGCACCATGTGGATCGTAGTGTCTTCTTATATGGTATCTTGGATGATGACCGTTGTTGGAGACACCATGGGTATTCCCGATTCAGTTATGGGAATAACTTTTCTATCGGCTGGTGGTAACATGCCTGAACTCGTCTCGATCGTTATCCTTTCAAGACAAGGTAAAAAAAAAAAAACAACGATTGTGATTATTTCTATTTTTCACTCATTCATTAAATTTATATGCTTTTTTTTCCCCCATTGTTTTTTATTTTTTAATCTTATCTCTCTCTCTTTCTCTCTCTCTCTCTCTCTCGTACGATATAACGAAAAAAAAATCTTCGAAGTATTCGAAAGCAGATTTCTTTTCCAATCGAATATAAATATATTTTCTTTTTTGTTGAAATGTTTGTCTAGGTAACGGTGACATGGCCATGAGCAACACATTGGGTGCCAACACTCTCGATATTCTTCTATGTTTGGGTTTACCGTGGTTGATTAAATCTATAATGTCCGGCAAAGACGTAGAAATCATATCCGGTGCATTATCTTACAGTGTTCTATCGATCATCGTATGCGTTATATTTTTCTATTCGGTTACGGCATTTTATAAATTTAAATTGAACAAAAAAGTTGGCGCGGTTTGTCTCGTTATGTATGTTATATTTTTAATATTTGCGATATCGGTGGAATTGAACGTTTTCTATCAAATTAATTTCCCTATGTGTCCTCGATAGTTGCCAAAAAGAGAAGAAACGAAAAAAACGTTCTCGAATATAAGAATAGAGAAATACGTGAGTACGATAGTCAATTTATAACTTTAACGTGTGTGTATGTGTGTGTATTGTATGAGAGGAAAAGAGAATGAAAGTAAATACAATATATTAAAGTATAAGGGAAATAATTATTTATGGCAGATGTGTGTGTGCGTGTTATGTATTTGCACGTGTATGTTGCATATTTGAGTTTAATTTAAGTAAACGTATAACAAATAATACTCAGGGTATTCTCGAAATAGAGTAACTAAACAAATGTTTAGCTTTAAATCGAAATAATGTTAATATATTATTTGAATTTAAGTAGTCAAAGGTTTGAATAAATGTGACAAGGTGTTAGAACCTCTTGAAAAAGGGGAGAAGAGTACAAACGAAGATGCAATAATTTTTAATTTTAAAAGAGTAAACAGAAAAAAAATCAAACAAACGACAGAGAAAGAGAGGCAACATTTTATAAGATTTTTCTTATCAACTAACAGTATTAATATTACATTTTAAACAAAATATTTGTCATCAAATTATATCGAGAAATATTGGAAAGTATCGCTTGTGATTTTTCGCGCGTACGAGATTATTTAATTGAATTTAATTTGATTTTTAATTGCTTTTCTTTTTCTTTCTTTTTTTCTTTTTCTTCTTTTTAATAATAAATCCTCTCGTAAAAACGTTTCCCCCCTCCCCAACGATGTTTGGTCATTAGATATAATTATAAGAAGAATAATAATAAAAATAATTCGATTTAGGTTTTTCATAATAATAAACAGTATCCTTTATTTTTATTGTTTCGTAATCGATGGCAACGAAGGGAGGAAAATCTTGACGCGGGTTTCTCGTCGTAATATAATAAATGAGAAAGGAGAAGAACAAAAAAAAATTAGAAGAGAAATAAAAAATTAATTCGCCTAATTCGATATATTCTACGTAATGTAATTTAATATTTAAATAGGTGTAAATCTCAGTGCCTAATAGAGAGAGAGAGAGAGAGAGAGAGGGAGAGGTATTTATTTATAGTTATATATCCTCGGATGCATTTAAAAACGTATTTATATTAATATGCATGTTAATTAAATTCAATTGATTGGTTGATTGGTGCACGAACGTGATGACGAGTATATTAGCGTGATTTTATAATGCGAGAAAGAGAGAGAGAGAGAGAGAGAGAGATATAGAAATAGAATGATAGTTGAATAGTAAAACATGCGAAACTTTGAATATAGTTAATAAAGTTTTGTTAAGAAAAAAAAGAAAAAAAGAAAAATTCGCTCATGACCGTTCTCAGACGAACGCTTGCTTCCCATATTTGGTTTCTTCGTAAATATTTTTTTTTGGTCTTCTTTATCCTTTTCCATTTTTAGTTTCTTTTTCTATTCCTTCGTTAGTTTCCTCTTTTCGTTCCTTTTTTCCACGTTCGACGGAACAATTTGATTCGTGTAAAGGAGTTGTAAAACGATATATAAAATAGAAATATCAACGTGAGCGACGGATAATATTTATTTACAGGGTGTATCCGATAATTGTGATCAATTTAGTTCATATAATTACGGATATTTGATGTTTATTTCGGATACATCCTGTATAACATCGTAATAATATTTTTTAATGATAAAGCGGCATTATCACGCTGATCGTTTTCTTTTTTAAAGCAACGATCTTTCATATATTTTATATTAAATATTATAACTTTTTATAAAAGAAAACTCTTTTGTTTTTTCTTGTTTTTTTTTTTTTTTTTGTTTCTTTAAACGTGCAACAATTATCCCATGTTCGTTAAACTTTTACGCGAGCAATCATCAGCAGCAGAGAGAGACAAGGCAGGCAAGATATAATTGTATAAGTATACGTATTTTACATGTGTGTGTGTGTGTAAGTAAGTCGAAGTATATATATATGTTACAGTCAAAGCCAGAAATCAGTCATTGCTAGTAATTCTTCGGCATTACTATGAATGCAAAGAGCAATACTAGATATTCTATAGAATATCAAAGTATTATGTTCGATGCTTAGGAAAAACTGGAAGTATTTTTCAATTTCCAACTTCGTCGGAAGGCGCTTTGCATTGTTAACAATGCTGAGGAATTACTAGCAATGATTGATTTCCGACTTTGACGGTAACATATATGTATATATATATACCTCTCTCTTCGAAGGCAAAAATTATGCTAATTGTAAATATATTAACTTATCTTCTTCTTCGATTCATTTTTTACTCTTCTAATTTATTTCTTTCTTTCTTTCTTTCATTCTTTCTGTCTTCTTCTTCTTCTTCTTCTTCTTCTTCGTTCATTCATTTTTTTTTCCTTTTCTTTTTATTTTATCTTTTTTTTTTTTTCCTTTTTTTTTTTTCATTATTTCTTTCGTAATATTATTCGCGTGCGCATTTAATTTATTTGTCATAGATTTCTAAAAAAAAAAATCCTCGCAAAGAAACTTAGCCGTGCTGAAATATATTATATCTCTAATCTAATCTATCGAAATTTTTGGACGAAAATAACGTGTTATCGTTATTATTGTCCACCCCCCCCCTCTTCCCCACTTCCCTCTCCTAATCATATAATCCTTTCTGTTTTTAAATTAAACTTCTTCTCCTCTTCTTTTTCATCTTTTTAATAAGTATCGTCCTATCTTTGTCGATTAAATCTGGGGGAGGGGGGAGTGGGGGAAAATCGGAATTTATATCCAAAAAAAGCTCAATGTATTATTATTATTATTATTATTATTATTATTAATATTATTATTATTATTTAAATAACGAAAGAAAAAAAGATTGGATCTCTTGTTGTTCTTGTTTTTTTGCTACGTATGTAGGTGGTACGTAAATATTGAATTACGAACGAGACTTAACTTGGTCCTAATTATTTTTTATACTCGAACGATGGTTTCTTTTTTTATTTTATTCCTTATTCCTTCCCCTTCTTCTTCTTCTTCTTCTTCTTCTTTATCTCATATCATTATTATTGACGCTAAAAATTAAAAAGCGCGTCTCTCCGTTGATTTTATTCATAATAATTTGAATATTTGATCTCTCTCTCTCTCTCTTTCTTTCTCTCCATAACGATTTTCCAACGAAAATCTTTTTTTTCCTTTTCGCAAAATATCCTCCTCCTCTACCACCACCTCCTCCTCCTTCGTTATACGTGTATTTACATAATTGTATATATAATTATAGCTCGGAACGAGCTCACGCATTAATCATTTTATTTATTTTATTTATATATATATATATATTTATAGATTTTATTTATTTATTTATTTATATATCTAATCATGTCAAAACGCAATTTTTTTAAAATCATCCCTTCGCGTTCATCCCCAATTTGATTAATAGGAATATTCTCGATTCATATATAGGAAACTATGTGGTAGTTAATTAGCTTATCATCATCAACGTTGTTGTTGTGGCATCGAAAATGGCAATCACACAAACGTCGTCTTTTATTTTTATTTTTTATTAACTCTTTTCTCTCTCCCCGCTCTCTCTTTTTTATTCTTTATCTTTAAAGATCAAATAACAATCCGATCTACTATTTTATAATAAAATCATAGCGATCTTTTATCGCGAGAGTGTCACAATGTTTACTGTGATTATTCACTTTTAATTATCACGGCTCTTCCGTATTTATTAATCGCATTATTAATTATTAATGAACTCCATTTCATTTGAATTTTATTTTCTTATTTTTATATCGTTAAACGTAGTTTTTTTTTTTCTTCTTTATTTTTTTTTTTTCATTTTTCAACCGAAATATTACGTGTTCTTTTAATTATTTTATTTGTTTGTTTTTTTTTTTATTATGAAAAAAGCGATAATAATAATCATCATCATCATCATCTTCATCTTCATCGTAATAATAATAATAATAATAATAATAATAATAATATTAATAATAACAATAATAATTACAATCATAATCATAGTAATTAGAATTATTATTATTATTATTATAGTATAAGAGTGTCTCGGACGTAATCGTAATATGATCTACGTGTAGTAATAATTTCTCTTAATAATTTTCTTCTTCTTCGTTTTTTATTTTATTTTGTCTTTTTCTAATAAATTTATTCTATTCCGTCTTTTCGTGTGTCTTACGTCGGTATGTCTCTTCTTCTTCTTCTTTTTCTTTGATTTTTTTTTTCCTTCATTATTTCATCAGACGGAATTTTTATTTCATAATTCGTCGCGATTAGAAAAATATTTGAAAAATAAAGCAGCGGCAAGAGTAATTTATTGTTAGCAGCGGCAGCAACAGCAGCGGCAGCAGCAATAATAGCAGCAACAGCATCATCATCATCATCATCATCATCATCATCATCATCATTATCATCATTAATCAGTATTATTATTTTTTAATAGAATAAGTGTTGTTGCTCGAACGCGATATCGTAATAATTGTTGTTCTCTCCCTTATTCTCTCTCTCTCTTTCTCTCTTTCTCTTTATCTTTTATCTTTATAATTTTAATTCGAAAGATGAAAAAGAGAGTAGGACGATATTGACAAGTTTATTTAAAAATTAGCGTGGGATGGCAAAACCGTGTATCGACGAACACTACGGTTTTATTGTTTTATTCTTTTCCTTCTTCCTTTTATTAATCTCTAAGAAGCTTATTTCTAAAGATTAAAAAAGAGAGAGAGAGAGAGAGAGGGAAACGTATTCGTTATCAGAGATAGTTTCCTGTTTTTAAACAATCAACCCTTTCTTCTACTTCTTTATTTGAATTTCTTCTTCTTTTCTATTTCCTGAATAATCTGAGGATCACAAAATTATTTTTTTTTGCCAACGAATTTCTTCTAACACCCTCGTTATCTCATTCTCTCTCTCTCTCTCTCCTTTTATCTCTCGAATTTTATTTTTCTCTTCTCGAAACCCTTATGAACGAGTATACGAAAGAGTTTGCGTGAGAGAGAAAGAGAGTGAGAGAGAAATGCAATAAATGCGCGGAAAGACAAATGTTTGTGTGTATGTGTGTGTGTGTATATAAGAGAGAAAGAAATATTATAACTTTCTCGGCAAATCGAAGGTATTGTCATCATCTCGTTATAAATGTCCATTATGACGACAACGTGCACCGGAACAACAAAACATAATCAGCCATTTATTGTTGTTGTTCTTCTTCTTTTTCTTCTTTAACCAAATCTTGTTTAATCATTTAATTTCTTCCTCTTCTATTATAATTCTCTTCCTTAAGATTTATTATATCACACATATCCGGTGGCGTCGAAGCATGGATATCATTATCATTAATATTATTATTATTATTATTATTATTATTATTATTATTATTATTATTTGTTGTTATTATTATTTAAACGTGTATCATAAATCGATGCGTCGTGCGTGTGTCGTATTTGCGTCATCATCATCATCTCACTGATCCCACCATAATCATTCCATGTTCATTGTATCTCGCAGAATGACAACTTGTTGTTCATCTCCTTTGTTTGTTCCTGGTCTTGGCTGTTACCACCCTCGCTTTTAGGGCTGCCACCCTCGTCTAAAGAGCCCCCACCACTGCCGGGGGGGCAAATCGATTGTCATCTAAGTGCCAGGGTCGACACCATCGGTGGCCGGGACGGTTTGTTATCGAGTATCCTCTCGATCTCGCTCATTACGGTCGCGTTTAGCTTTGGGATTAACTGAAATTCAAAGATATTTCAATCCTTTTATTTTGTTAATAAAGTTTACATTATATTATCGCCAATTTTTAATATCTAGATATATTATTTTTATCTATAGGAGGAAGGAAGAGGGGATGGGATGGGAAAAGAAAAGAAGAGAAAAATGTTTTATCACTTTCTTTTTTTTTTTTTGTCTTCTAAATATAGGGTATACTTCGAAAGGATGAATACGATAATTATTAACACCTCGAATAATACCCCTTTGTTATTTTTATACTTCGTATAAATATATACGAGACACGTTGTCGAAACGTTCGATTTTTAAAAGAAAAGAAAAAAAAACATATATATAAGAATTCGTATTACGTTCTAGTTTAAAGGGGTTTTATTCTACACGCGATGTTATATATTTTCTTAGGATTTTTTTTTTAATCTATATAATCTGAGTGACGCGATAATCATTGCGACATATATTTTACCTGTAAACTCTGAAGGCTCTCATACAGTTGATCTGTATTTGACGCACCGAGGAGAAGGCACTGAACACTTTCATTCTTGAGAGACCACGCGATGGCTAATTGTCCGAATGAACATCCGAGCCTTTCGGCAAGTGCACAGACGTCCCTTAATTTATCCGAATATTTCCGCGTTTCCTCGTCCGCCGATTTGTCCTTCCATGCGTATTCCTACAAAATGTAACAATTCGTATATTCAATATATTCCTATATACATATATTTATTTTTTCTAATTTTTCTTTTTTATTTTTTTATTAAATTTTATATATATATATATCCACACGAACATCTAACACATTCGATCCCTACCGTAAAATAATATAATAATAATCGAAACGTTTAACGATTAAAACGCACCTCCTTATACAAAGACTGCGTTTCATCTTCCGTCCAACTGAAGGAAGAATACTTATTCTGAAATTAAATTAACAACTTTCTGAATCGATCGAGAAAGATGAAATAGTAGTAGTAGTAGTAGTAGTAGAAGTAGAAATAGAAATAGAATTAGTTGAGGAATAAGGAAAGATTCAAGAGAGAAGAAAGGAAGGAAATAGTAAAAGAGGAGTATTTTAAGGGGGATTAGTTACCAAGGTTCGATATAGTGAGCTCGAGTTTACCTTGTAAGAGGACCTTGAGAGGAAGGACACTCCACAATCTTCCGGCTTGGATGATACCATTCCGATGGTGACCGTGGACCATGCCATTAAACCGACACCTAAAGCAAATTACAACAAAAAACCTTAAGTAAACCTCAAGTATACAGTTTTTTAGGATTAATAATTTTGGATGTTATAAAGTTAATATATATATATGATCAAATATTTATTCGTTATAAATAGTAATTAAGGTTTACCAATTTTATTGTACAATTCCGGCATATATAGTTCAGGTTTCTCTCTATAGAAAAGATGATATTCGGCTTGTTCGACAATCGGGGTGACACAATTGAATTGTCGACAATTCGTATAGGCCTCCATGATCTCAACGGGAGACCATCGTGACGTACCCCAGTACATTACCCAGCCTTTGCTTATCACGTAATTCATAGCTCGTACTATCTCTGAAAAGAGAACGTGTAAACAGATGTTATAAGAAGAGATTATCGAGGTGTTACGATTATTATCATTTTATGTTAGTCGTCTTTGTCGTTCTACTTGTCTTTTTCGTCATTGTGTCATTAAACGTGTCGTAAATGCGTTTCTCAATTTTTTTTTCTTTCTTTTTTGTTTGATAAATAACACGTGAATGATCGATCGATTGGAAAATTTGTATTTTTCCCTGTCACAATTTTTCCTTTTACAAACGTTATAAAAATGATCGATAACACTTTGAAATTTCGTAAAACATTATTTTATCTATTTTTATTCTCGTGAACAAAATTTCTTTTACTTTTACCTCTTTCATTTTATATATCGCAAGATGAAAAATTCATATGTAGAAAATATTCGACGCAATAATATTTAGAAATTTTTTAACAAATCATTTTTTTTTCCCCGCGTGTAAAAGCAAAGAGTAATGGTTAAAGTATACCGGAAGAAATTCCTCTCATTGAAAGTAACAAACCTATTTATAACCACTACCTAGTATTCGTATTTATATCTCACATTTAGAACGCATTCGTGCGTAATTTTACGATCCTCTTATACACAAACCCTCCCCTTTCCCCTATCCCCCTATCACCCTATTTCTTACAGTCATTACAAATTTACGAGATCTTAATATACTCAGATTTTTACAGTTTTTTTTTTCTTGATGATTTTTACGATTACGATTAGTAGTAGTAGTAAAAAAAAAGTTATCCGAATAAAATCTAAATTATTCGCTTGATAATCGATCGTTAGTTGCGAATAAAGTCGAGTAGAATTTTCTAAGAATCTCACACGGAAAAAGAAATAAAATAAAAGAAAGGGAGAGAGAGGGGCGGGGTGGAAGAAAACGAGTACAGGTGAAATCGATAGAATATGGAACGTTTGTCTCAAAGCTTACCTTCCATCGGACACATTGGATCGACTTTGTGAATCATGACGATATCGATGTAGGACAGCTGCAACCTGACCAAGGACGCTTGCACAGATTCGATAATGTGCTTACGTGATAGTCCTCGTCCCTCTGTCCTGTCAAAAATGATTCATTTTTTTAAACATATTAATTCTAAAGATGAGACATTTAAAACGATCGTTGTTAATGTAATACACACACACTGTTGAGATGAAAATATACTACTTACGTACAAATCAAAGATAACATGATTGAATGAGAAAGAGAGAGAGAGATACCTGGTGTGCAACGTATTTGAAAACGTTCAATGGTTGTTAATCATTTTTCTTAGATTTTTCATCCTAAATCTTTTAACGTTTCAATGCAATTTTAATAAATACGTCAAAGTGTATCACCGATGGTATACACGGCCTGAACGAAAAGTTTAATCGTCGAGAAAATGATTGTTTATTTTTCTACAAGAGAATCATTGGAATTTATCCAAGCACTCTCCCCTATTGTTTTCTAACGATCATACGGAACTTGAATATAGAAAATGATAAAAAAAAATGAAAAGAAAAAGAAAACGAAAGGAAAAAGTTAATAGCAAAAGAAACATAAGGGTGCACACATAGGCATACGTGTGAAAGAAATAAAGAAAGAAAGAAAGGGGGAAAAAGAAGAAGAAGAAAAAAATAAAAAGAAACGTTAAAAACACACAACGGGGAGAAAGAGAAAAATAGTCAAGTTAAAATCTTTCTCACACATCGATCGCATTCAGCCGCGACCTCCTTTTGTCGTGTTTCTTTTCTCTGGTTGTATATATATATATGACATACACGTATTTCATATCTTTTGTCGAGAAAAGGCTCGTGCATTGAAACGAGCCCTTCTCACATCACCGAGGCCAACGTGGTGGAACGTTTTAAACTGGACAGTTCGTGGACAACAATAAGCTTTCGCAAAGCCTTTCAAGCATACGTGTGAGAAAAAGTATTAAACGGATAGGCAGATGAACAGACAGACAGACAGACAGGACAGGCAGACAGATAAGAGGTATATAAAGAGAGAGAGAGAGAGAGAAAGACTATGTATGTGATTTTTCACATAGAAAACTTTCCTTGCATCTCTCTCTCTCTCTCTTTTTATTTTTCTTTCTTTCTTTTATCTTCACCATTCGAAGAACACAAAAGTATAGTCAATGGTTTAACACACTTCATATTCTATTCGTATATTCGGTTTGACATACATTGTATATGTACGGTACATACATTATTACATATATATATACATATATAGATTGGTATATACATACACACACATATTTATGTGTGCGGTTATCAGCGCGTGCGACCTGACATTCGGTCGTACTACTTTCCACCCCCTAAGCTGTACGATCGAACGCGTTTACACCACTGGAATTTGTTCTACTTGGTATCGAATAGAACGAGGAGACATATCTTTGTATGTATGTATGTATGTATGTATTCATATATATATATATATATATATATATATATATGAGTAGGTATGTATTTTACGTGGGCTAATTCCCCCGTTATGCGCGAATTGTTTCTCAGTTCTCTTCTCTATTGTTTTCTCTAGGGCCACTTTTATCAAATACACTTTGCCGTGTATCGTCAATTATTATTATTACTCGACGTATTATTTTTTTGTTAAACGTCGATTGTTTATTTAAACACTGTTATCTTTTTTTCTTCTTTTTTTTTTTTTTTTTATTTCTACGCGTGATCATTCTTTTTTCTTTTTATTATTATTGCTGTGCTGTGCGAGAGAAATGTTATTTGAAATTTAGTTTTTTCATTTTATTGTTGTTGTTTGTTTTTTATTTTTTTTTCTACAAAAATTTTACGCGACGTCAAATTGAAAAAAAAAAAAAAAAATATATAAATCGAATGCGGAGAGATATAGTTCGTGTTACGTTCGATTAGAATTATTATTTGTTCGTTTTTCTTTTATTGTATAGTTTAAAAAAAAAAATGTGTGCTTCAACGCGAACGAATTTATCGCGAAACTAAAGTCGAAAGAAAATTCACGAAGAACGTTGTCGTTACGTTTTGTTAATAACATTTTCCACCCCCTACCCTCCATCAAATTTCTCAATAATTCAATAATAATGACGTAGACAATTTTTATCTTTTATCTTTCGGTCTCACCATCCGTGTATACAAATATTATTAACGACGATTAAAAAACATAAAGAAAAAACGTGCGAGTAGGGGGTGGGGTGGAGGGAAGGAGAAAAATAAAAAGGATGCATAGGAAAAATTTCAAAAAAAAGAAGTCAATATCCTTCATTATCATCATCATCATCGTAGTAATACAAAAAAAAACTTGTATTCTCTGTTTCTCTTGGAAATTCTTTCCGGGTTTACGAGCAGGATCAAAACGAATTTTCCCAACAGTGTCCTGGACGAAAAGTATGCCCTAATTAAAATCGACACTTTTGTTGTACTATCCTTGCTTTCTCACATACACATAGACATCTCTCTCTCTCTCTCTCTCTCATTCTCTCTCTTTCGTTCTTTCTTCCTCCCGTACGTTTCCAAAGTCAATTACGGAGTTAACTTTCGAGCTAACGTGCAACAGCTTTCGTAGGGTATCCCTTTCTCTCGATTTAATTACCGTATCGTTTAAAAGTCCACGTTCGAGATAACGAGGAAGTTTTTCAAACATTCAGTTTAAAAAAGTTTCTACGATTTTTGTTTTTTTTCTTCTTCTTATCATTGAATAAAATCGATAGAAAAAAAGAAAAAGAAAGAGAAAAAAAAATAAAGGAAAGAAAGATTTATGCAAATTGTTAGATTATATGCAACGAAATAAATAAAAACTTTTGTTTGGGCAAACAAATTTTTGTATACGAAACACGATAATAAGTTTATCGTAGAAAAGTATTATCGAATTATTTCATATATATATATGAGGGAATAAGTAATGTACAATTATGAAAAGAAAAAGTGTGTATGTGCCGTGCGTGTGTACACGTGTGTTAGAAAATTTGTCTTACTTCGTGTTCCAATATATTTTCGTCGTAACGACGTAGCTCGAACGGTTCCATGCACGTCGCAATAAAATCCGACCGAATTGTATTTCGGCACGATGACCGCTATGCGCTTCGCTCAAATCGAACACATTGATGCCACTGTCGTATGCAAGTGCAACGACGGCTTCGGCGGTTTCCTCGTTGCCGCATCCCCCAACACCAAAGGTGGTCCAAGTACCTAATAAAATAACCAATACATAACACTACGATTAATAATTTACAATTAAATCGTTGGGAATTTGTCAATTAGAAATTAATTTACGCGATTTTTATATATATATATATATATATATATTATTTTTTTTTTATAACAATTGCGTGAAAACAACTTTTGACGTACAATAAATATTTCGTAACGTTGTTATTTCTAATTGCCATCAAAAAGTATACATTTGTTAATAACATATTTGTATTATTTCATAAAACGAACAAATTGTTATCGTTGGTCGTTGATTCGTCAGGTTTCGAAAATGTATTCCGATCAAATAAATAAATAAATAAATAAAATATAATTCAAATATTTTTCATGTACAAAGTAAGATCGATAGATGATGTTACCGCGATGGTCGAGTTTGTAAAATGAAAGTTCGATAGGAAAATGTCGAGTTCGCGAGATATCGAGAAAAAAAAGAAAAACAAGAAAAAAAAAAAAGGGAACATCGAAAGGCGTGAATTTTATTTGACAATTCCTATTATAATCGAACGGTATCGCGAAGCGTATATACGATAACGATTACTCGATACGTTCGTTTTCATTTTCATCTTTTAGGTTTATTTTTTTTTTCCATCCCCTTCCTCCCATCAAATTAATCAACATTCGTACAGTTATTCTTAGTACGAGAACTTTTTTATAACACGTTTCAATAAATATATTATATATTAGTTTTTAATTCGTACCACGGTTCAAATATTTATAATACATGGTACATTTTTAAAAACATAGATATTCTTATACATTTATTTTATATTATATTAAGAAGAGGGGGGGGGAGAAAAAATTTCTTATAAATAAATAAATGATTTTAACGATATTGACGTATGACAAGCAAGCAAACAAGCAACGAATGTAAACGTTGCTTTAAAGTATCGAACAAGAGTAAAATAAATAAAAAAAGAAAAAAAAGTCACGTAGGAAGAAACGAGATAGAAAAAAAAGAATAAGAATGAAAAACAGATAATAAGATAAAAAAAAAAGAAATAAAAAGAAATTCGATAGTGGTCTTCTTACCTAATCCAACATTGGAAACACGTAGACCACTTTTTCCCAAGTTGCGATAACGAATACCTGGCGATGGATGCTGTAAACGTTGCGCTTGTGCAGCAATGCAGCTAGTCAGTAGCTGTTCTTTCGTTCCTGCTGTGTTGCTGCAGTGCACTCCTGTCTCCGCACCACCACCACCGCCGTTGAACTCTTCCATGCAATCCAAACTGGCTATGGGTGCGCGACACCTGCGACAAATTCACCAAGAAGACGACATGTCCCAATGAACAAACAAAAATAACATAATTATCTTCGTTTTATCATAATGACAATTTTTAACGAAGAGAGAGAGAGAGAAGGAAGATTTTTTCCTATTTTTTTGTTTCAAAGCATCGCAAAATACCATACACGATGGAAATATTTCGATTGTACTTCCCAACTTTTTTCTAACGCACGAGAATAACTTTATGCAAATCTTTTGTTCTCGAACTTCTCGTTTTTTCCGATTGGAAACGTTTAAAAAAAAATTACCCATGCATTTAAAGCTACAAGCTCAGAATAAATTTCTTGACAAGTAACATTACAAAATTCTTCGATATATTTTTTCGACATAATTATTTTCTTATTAACGATAACACTCTTGTGTGAGAAAGTTTTTATTTGGAATAAGATTCTTTGGCAATAAGCAACGATATAACAAATCATAAACAACGATGAGAACTATGATGATAAAACAACAATAGCAACAACTATAACAAACAACGACAATGCAACGACAATGCAACGATTTAAAGCTCCGTAATACGTTTTTGTAAAATAAAAAAAATATCCTCATCAGAGTATCAGAAGCATATTACTACTCTCAAAGATGAGACTATGATCTATATGCGCAGTCAGTCGGTCACTTTTCCAAATTGGATAACTTTTTTTTCTTCTCTTCTTTTTCATTTTATTTTTATTTGAAACTCTTAAAACAAAGTTCTTTGAGATAATGCTTTTTCTACGTATACCATTCAAACGAATTAAAATTCATTGAGATTAATGGAATAACGAGATTACTTTTTTACAATTTCGAATATAAAATGTCGACAATTATTTGTCTCATCGATGTTACATAATATATTTAATTACTTATACAACATTTATCAAATATTTAAGATAAAAGTATGTTTTTAATTTTAAAAAGTGTTCGAATATTTTTACTGACTTTGTATATAATAAAATATAAAAGTATATACATTTAATATATATACAACGTTTATTGAAAAAGTTTTGCTCGAATGAGAAAACACGACGAAAGATATATACAAGATTTTTCTTAAAGTTCTATACATATATCTTTAATTTTCCTTTTTTTACCGTCTCCCGTCGTTGTATACGTCAATATATCAAACGTTCTATATACAGTATACATATATAAAAATATATATATATATAAAAGAATAGGTAAGAAAACAAATCAAATAAAAAAGGGATGTACTTTACTAAAAGGTTTTTTTCTTTCATTTTAATAAAAAAAAGAAAGTGATAAATGAAGATGCTCGATTACGTATGTGTATGTCTATGTCTATGTGTATGATTTATGCATTTTTGTTGTTGCATAAAAGATAGAGTAAAGTAAAACGCGGGACTCGTCGTCGTGGTTGTTAGATTATGTTTGTGCCCCTTTAAAGTCCGGGACTACCGCAAGGACTCCAATGTGGGTCACCAGCGCGGAAAACGATACCTACGTTCTTTATTATTCGTTCAGGACGTATTTAAGCGATGCTCTCCTCTCTCTCTCTCTTTCTCTTTCTCTCTTTCTCTTTTTCTCTTTCTCCCTTTTACTTTTTTCTTTTTATTATTCAAGCTGATACAACACACACGTTGCGCCGAGAACCTAAGCTAAAATCCCACCTCTCCTTTTTCTAAAACATTTCTATTCGGATGTCCAGAATTTACAAGTGTATATGCGTGCGTGGGTGTGTGTATGAATCTGTGTCATTTTAAAATCCATCATACATCTATTTTCGTCAGTTGTGTGTCTCCATATCTTCTTGATAGTTTCATTTTCATTCAATGTTTCTTTTTTTTAATTGAAATCATCCTTCTTTCTCTTCCTATTGTTTCTTTTCTTTTTATTTATTAATTATCGATATACTTAGAAAAAAATGTATATGAAAAATGTTTGGTAGAAAAAAGAAAGATTAGTTTGCGTATCTTTTTTTCTTTTTTTTTTTGAATCATATTATTATAATGCGTATAAAAATCGAAAATCGATTGATTTCAATTTATTTCTATTCCATTTTCTCTCCCTTTGTGCGATGTTATTATCAATGGGAACGGATTTAGGATCTAAGGAAAATTCGTTTTTCGAATCGAGACGACGAGTCCATCGTAGAATAACTTACCGATAAATCGTTGGCAGTGGATAAGAATCGTCGTCCTCCATGCTGCTGTTCGTATTCGCGTTGTTATTCGTATCATTTCCCCCGGTCGACGTATTTGCGAGATTGCAGAGCATTAGTCGTGACATTACTTACGACAACTAATTTGCTCAATTTGTGTCCGTGATCGGGTGGGCCACCCACGAAGATTCAATCTTATTCTTTTTCTTTTTTTCTATTTTTCTCTTTTTTTATCTATCAGTTTGGATCGTCTCGTGAAACCGATGAGATAGATTTTTCTCTCTCACGAAAAAAGGAGGAAACAAAAATTGGCTTAATTGAATTAATTTTTAATTTTATAATATGCGAGATTTTCTCGTGATGTTTATTAATCCACGCGTAACGTTAACACGCTTTGTTTTATATATTTTTTTTTATTAGGCACTAGTTTCTCCCCTTCTCTCAATTAATATATTCTTTTTCCAACTGAATTTTTGTTTTATTTTTCTTCCCCCCCTCTGTCTTACCACTTCCCATTCCTTTCTATTTCTTTTTTATATTCTTCTATCTCACGCTTATTCCCATGTGTGTTTTTCTTCCTTATTACTTTATTTATAATCGAATAACTTCTTACCTTAGGCACCTCGTATTTTTGTTTTTGGTATCGCTTTTTTTTTTTTTATTTTTATTTTTTATTTTTATACGTTTTAAAAAGAGATAAAAGCTCGTTCGGTTTCGGCTTTTCAACCGAACGTGTCGCGTTCCCAGCTGAGGGATATGATATTCGTACATATACACATAACACACACGTATATTATTAATATATACGTATCGTCAACATTGTTACGCGCTTGCTTGCTTGCTTATTCCTCGATATACATGAAAATCATAATAATTTCTGATTCAGTAATGTGCGCGTGACTTATCCTATTCATTTAAGTATATATATATATATCATATATATATATATATATTTATATGAATACTCTTCTCTTTCTTTTTTCTTTTTTTATTTTATTTAAATTTAAATTTTTCTAATTAATGAGAGAATGATCGATATGAACGTTGGATATGTGTGTCTAAATCCGAGATGTGTATATTATTCCGAGCCGAATATTAAATTGGCCCTTTTTTTTCTTTCTCTATTTTTTTTTTGGTTTTAAATATAAATCGAGCTAATAACGCGTCGTCGCAAACCACCACTACCTATTTTCCTCCCTAATTTTCTTTTGACTTTTCCGTTTCTTCTTCGTTCACTTTTTCCTTCCTTTCTATCGAGGTTTCTTCCTTAACTCTCCTTGTCTTATTCGCCAGCTCGACCGATCCAGGAAACCTGCTCCTGGTGCACCTCCACTTCCACCACCACCACCTCCACCACCACAACCACCACCACCACCACCACCACCTCTCTTCGATACCAACACCGAATCCAGCTCCAGTTTCGAAATGATTAATACCAATGGGTATTCCTTCAATCAATTTTCTCAAAGAATATGATACAACAGGATATATTAGGACAGATTACTATTCCTATGTAAAAACTCGCGAGATTAGGATAATCGTTAAATGCATAAACCACGCGATTCCAAGTATCATTCTCTCCTTGTACTTGGACAAAATTTCTTTTTTTTTTTTCTTTTTTATTTTCCTCTCTTTTCCTTATTCTTATTTGAAGATATATTAATATATCTTTCTCCTTCTTTCTTTCCTAATTTTTTCTTTTCTATACGTTTGTCATTTATTTCATTCGCGTACACCTTTTTATTCTTCACTTTTTAATTGAAATTTTTACCTCTCTTTTTCACACGAGTCGATCGAATATTTAATTCGTTTCATTTAGAGAAGAGTAAAACTATATATATAGAATTCATCTGGCCGATATAATACGCGATATGATACACGATTTGATTTTTGTCTTTCTCTCAAAAATGGATTTATATATTATATAGTATATATATATATATGTATATGTATATACGATTTCATATATTGCTCGTTACCCGCGAACGATGTTATATATTATTTTTCCTCTCTCTCTCTCTCTCTCTCTCTCTCTCTCTCTCCCTTCTTTCTTCTTTGGGGTCAGGGGGAGGAGGGTATATTTTTTTTAAATCTCTTATTTCTTTTCTTTTCTATTTTTTTCCCTCTTTCTTTCTTTCTTTCTTTCTTTCTTTTTTTTAATATATTTTTTTTTCTTTCCTTTGCCTTTCCTTTAAATATGAACGAACACGATGGAACCAACACCGGTTAGAGTAAAATGAATAAAGTAGCACACCCAAAAATTCGTTACGATGATGAATAACGACAATGAAGAAGAAGAAGAAGAAGAATTAGAAGAAGAAAACAAAAATGAAAAAAGGAACAGAAAATATTCGTAGAAACGGGGGTTCCGAGAGACGTGCGGCGAGTGTCGTGCACCCTGCGCGGTAGGCAACACTGCACACACTCCGCTCGTTTCGACTCGCCTCGAGATAGAAGCCGCCGTTAACACCCTCCTACCAACCCACCCACCCCTACCACCACCACCACCTCCTTTCCGCCCTTTCCTTTCCACCACCAACACCACCCCCTTCTCCTCTCGCTACTCGGTGGTGCTGGTGCTGCTGCTGGTGCTGGTGCTGCTACCGTTTCTCTTGGTGGGGAGGGTTGTTAGGTAGGTAGGGTGAGGAAAGGAGGGTTGTTTCTCACACAGGAATCTGCGTGGGTGCTTCGTCGTCGTCGTCGTCGTCGTCGACTTTCCCGACGACGATCGAGAAGGGTTTGTGTGCGCGCGTCGTTGTCCTCAGTCGATTCTTCGAGTTCTACTCTCTCATTCTCTCATTCTCTCATTCTCTCTTTCTCTCTTTTCCTATCTCAAAAATCTTTCTTTCGAGTTTCGAGAGGATACCTTTTATACGTACTTCACTACTAGTAGTGTACTACTATATACTTGACTACCACTACAATTAAAAGTCTAACTACCATTACTGCTACCACTACTACTATTACTACTACTACTTACCCCTTCTCAAGTTCCAAGCAGGTAAATTCATATACAAGCCCGTTTGAAAAATAAAAGTCTAACTAATCTAATCTCTTCTTCTTATAGGGATGTTACTGACGGAAATGAATAATAAATAAAAGAGATATAAATATATATGTATGTATAAAAATATATATATATATATATATATATA